ATTTGCTGAGGGATTGGACGTGGATTGGGGGAGAAAGAGAACTCAGTAAAGGTGACTCCCAAGATATTTTGCCTGAACAGCTGGGAGAAGGGAGTGGCTGTTGACCAAGATGGGAAGACAGGAACCAGTTCCGAGGGGTATCTGGGCTCGGGCTGTTAGATGTGCCATGTCTGTCGGGTGAGTAAGTAGAGCTGCGCCGCGGGCAGTTGGCTGCTGAGTCTGGGTCAGCAGCCCCAGGTCTGGGATCAGCAGTGTGGAAGCAGCAGTGTTTAGAGCTATGGGAACACACGAGCTCTTGGGACTGAGTATCTATAGCCAAGGGATCTGTGGGGCCACCTTGTGACACTAGCCTCCCGGTCTGGGAGACGAAATGCTTCTGAGTTTGCTGACATGCTCTAGAGTGAAAGATGGTTGTAATTTCTTTTCTTTTTTAAACAGCTTTATTGGGATATAATTCACCCATTGAAAGTGTACACGCCATTGGTTTTTAGTATATTCACAGAGTTGTGTAACTGTTACAACAATCAGTTTTAGAGTATTTTTATTACTGTGGAAAGAAACCACATACCCTCCCATCCCCAGGCAAGTCCTCATTGCTCAGCACGCCCCTAGCAGCTACGGATCTGTCTGTCTGGATTTGCCTGTTCTGGACAGTTCACGTCACTGGACTCGTGGGACATGTGGTCTTTTTGGGAGCAGTGGTACCCACTAGTACCAGGCTTCGGGCTGTATTAGATACGGAATCATTTGCTAAAGCTGGGGCTGTGAGATTTCTTCATTATAAAGATACACGAACTGTGGGGTGATATTTGAGACAATATTTTGTCCTCTGACAGCCTGTTGTCTAGTAGTTTTTGTGTTCATTAAAGATTTTTCCTTAAGCCCTGGCTGGGTGGCTCATGTGGTTGGAGCATCGTCCTTTGCACCAAAAGATTGCAGGTTTGATTCCCAGTCAGGGCACATTGCCTAGGTTTTGGGTTCGATCCCTGGTCGGTTGTGTGCAGGAGGCAACCAGTGGATGTTTCTCCCTCCCTCTTCCTCTCTCTAAAAACAATAAAAATACATATCCTCAGGTGAGGATTTAAAAAAAAGATTTTTGTTTAAATCAGTGATTGTAGTGGGATTGCAAAGGGATGATTTTATATTCTATTTTCAAAGATTATGAGTTTAGAGTATCTCTAATTCAGATGCATTTATAGAATTTTTCCTTTTGTATTTGTACATCTTTTCTGTTACTGTGAAAATCTTGGTTCCTAATAGCAGATAATTGTTTTGTTACTTTTTTTTATTTTTAAATCTTCACCCGAGATATTTTTCTATTGATTCCTTAGATAGAGTGGGAGGAAGGGAGGGAAGGTGAGAGACAGACAGACAGACAGACATGTGAGAGAAACACATCAATCGGTTGCCTCCCCCATGACCCTGACTGGGGCTAGGGATCGAACCTGCAACCCAGGTACATGCCCTTGACCGGGAATTGAACCCTGGGCCCTTGGTCCACAAGCTGACGCTCTGACTGCAGAGCCACACCGACCGGGCTGTTGTCCACTCTGTGCTCCCGCCAGCAGTGTGTGCCTTCTGCTCGTGCTTGCTGCCATGTGGTGTCCCTTTTGTTTGTTTCTCTGTTTCTTGGTGTTGTTTTGGTTTGTTTTAGCCATTCTGGTAGGTATCTAGGCATCATACGGGTTTTTTTTTTAGATACCTTCCTGACTTATGATGACCATCTTTTTATGTGCTTATTTTATACATACATACATATATATATTTGTTGGCTTATCTTCATTTTATATGTATATATATACACACACACACATTTTAAATATTTTTTCTTTTTCTTAATTGATTTTAGAGAGAGAGGAAGGGAGAGGGGGAGAGAGGTAGAAACATTGACGAGACAGAACATCAATTGGCTGCCTCCTGTCCCCCACTGGGGGTCGGGCCCACAACCTGGGCATGTGCCCTGACAGGGAATCGAACTGGTGACCTCTTAGTGCAGGGTCGATGCTCAACCACTGAGCCACACTGGCTGGGCTTGTCTTCATATAGTTTTGCCCATTTTTCTAGTTAGTTGTTTGTCTTACATTGAATTATAATAATTATTTGCCTGTCCTTGTATGTCATTTGGTATATGTGTACTGAGTATTTTCTCTCATTCTGTGGCTTGTCTTTTGACTTCTTCTTTTTTAATCCTCACCTGAGGGTATTTCTCTGTCTGTCTTCAGGGAGTTAGGGAGGGAGGGGTGAGACATTGCTGTGAGAGGGACATCAACTGGATGCCTCCCACACGGCCCGGATCAGGGCCGGGGCGAACCGCATCCGAGGTTCGTGCCCTTAGCTGGAGTCAAACCTGTGAATCTAATGTGTCTGCAGACCGACGCTCCAACCACTGAGCCAAACCGACCGGGGCTTGTCTGACTTCTTAATAGTTTCTTTCAAAGAGTACTTCTTAATTTTAATCAAATCCAATATATTAACCATCATATGGTTCAGGTGCTTTGTGTATTATTTGAGAAATCCTTGTCTACTGCATGAGGTCATGAAGATTTCCTCCTGTATGTTTGTAAAGAAGGTATACTGTCCCAGCTTCTACCTTAGGGCTCTGATCTGTTTCGAGTTCATTTATTTCCACAGGTGAGCTAATTGTTTCAGTGCTATTTGCTGAAAGGCTCTCCTTCCCCATGGAATTGTCTTGGCATCTCTGTGAAATCAATTGACAGCATATGTATGGGTCTGTTTCTGGGTGCTGTTCTGTTCCATCAATTTATTTTATCTGTCTTTTCTCCAGCCCTGCACTGTCTCTGTTGCTAGTGCAAGTCTGTTCTGTGGGAAGTAGATTTGGCTGTGTGTGCGTGTGTGTGTATGAATCAGCTTGTCATTTTTTAAATATATTTTTTAATAAAATATCCTGCTGGAATTTTGATTGGTTGGATGGTAGCCTAACTTTATTCCTTTCAGTGTCTGGAAAATCTTCCACCGTGTGGACAGGCCACATTTTTGTTGATCCCTTCACCTGTTGTTGCACGTAGGAATTGTTTCTGCTTCTTGGCTGTAGTGAATGGTGCTGCTGTGAAGAGTCACATATAAGTATTCGAGTCTGTTCAGTTCTTTGGGCACACACCTAGGAGTAGAAATACCGAGTTAGCTGATTCTGTTTCTAACTTTTGAAGAGCCACCAAACTGGCACACAGCCTTTACCATTTTACATTCCCACCAGGCATAGGAGGGTGCCGTTCTCGCCACGTGGTTCCCAAACTTGCGCAGTTGTATCCATCTGGGGGGTGTGAAGTGGTATCATTGTGGCAGTGATTTACATTTCCCTAACGACACACAGCACAAGCGTCTGTGTGTGTTCTGGTTGGCCATTTGTTTATGTTCTTTGCCTATTTTAACTTTTTTTTGTTCAGTTCTAAGAGATATATTTGGATACTAGACCTCTGTCAGATATATAATTTGCAATATTTCCTTCCATTCTGTGGGTGGTGGTTTTATTTTTTTATGTCCTTTGATACAAAATTTTTAAATTTTTATGAAGTCCAAATCATCTTTTCTTTTTTTCCTTTTGTTGTTTGCGCTGTGCTGTCGTATTTAAGAATCCACCTCCAAATCCAGGGTCGTGAGGATAAACCCCTGTACTTCCTAATGTGGTATAGTTTCAACTTATGTTTGGATTGTTAACCCATTTTGAGTTGTGTTTTGCCTGTGGCATGAGGCAGAGGTTCAGGTCCCATCTCCAGCACATGAGCCCCGCTGGTAGGAGAAGCGGCTTCCCCGGCTCATGGTGTTGGCACCTGGGGGAAACCAGTCGGCCTCAGATGTGTGAGCTTATTCCCGGTTCTCGATTCTGATTCCTGTGCTTTGTGTCTGTCCGAAGGCCACACCACACAACTTGAGAGTTTGTACCTGGGATATGTGTTAGTGTAGTTAAGTTTTCTAGGTTTGATTACATTTAAAAAATTTAAAAAACCTTCTCTTGCCTCGCCAGTGTGGCTCAATGGATTGACTGTCCTCCCATGGACTGAGAGGTCTGGTTCCACTGGGTCAGGGCACATGCCTGGGTCGCGGGCTCCATCCCTGGTGGGGGTGTGTAGGAGGTAGCTGATCAGTGTATTTCTTTCACATCGATGTTTCTCTCTCAAAAAAAAAAAAATGATAAAAACATATTTTAAGAAAAAGAAATTTTTTTCTCTAAATGCCAGATTTATAATAACTCACACATACAAATTTAGTGGGCAGTTTTGTTTAAAAATTTGGCATGTTCCACATTTCCTTGGCTGCATACAGCGTGGTGATTTATATGTGTAGTGCATCGGGGTATACTAGTAGGGTTTGCACTGTGAGCTAAACTTTCCTTGAGCCTTTAAACGAAGAGCTGGTACATGAGTAAGTTCAGCCTGCGGGAGGAGGCGGGTGCTGGCGGTCAGGTGCCAGGGTAGGAGCAGTCTGCACGTGGCGTCCCCTCCGGACGGAATCACAGACCTCGTTCCTGGAGAAAAGTGACTGTAAACACTGCCTTTTAACCGAGTTGTGTTTTTTAACTTTAATCAGTACAATAAAAATTCCGGTACTTCAGAAACACAGTATGACGTGCCTCCGAACTCTGAATCTCTGACCCCTCTCTCTTATTTCCCTGTGGGAATCGATTTGCTGAGGGGACTAGACAGTGTGTCCCGCTGTATCCCGCAGTCTGGCTTTGCTGCCTGAGTCCTCTGGCTCCATTTACTGTGTTCCTCTGTGTTCTTCATTTCCTTGAGCTGGTGGTTGGCTGTAGGGCGTTCTGTGACCTGAGCAGACTCAGGTAAACACTGTTTTGTTGTAGTATGTTCACTTCATTGGTGATGTTTGCATCTTCCATCAGGAGGCACATAGCATCTGCTTGTCTCTCTCTTCATGATGTCAGCTGACTTCGTTTTGATTTGTTTTAGTGTTAAAAATTGAAAAGGTTTTAGAGAGAACGGGTGGTGTTGAGGTTAAGATGTAAGCTTTAGGGTCTGAGAATCCGGTTCATGCTCCGACCCATTACCTGCTAGTTCTCCGGTGTTGGAAGGCGCCGCCCCTTCGCGGTGTCCGGGGGAAGCACGCTGCCTGCTCATAGGGGCGTTTGGAGGAGGAGATGAGAAAGTGCTTGGAAAAGAACCACAGAGCCTGGCCTGTCGGAAGTGGCCAGTGAAGGTGAATTTAAAAATATTCTGCAGCAGTCTGAAAGGTAGACTGTCTTGATTTGTAAGTGAGGAAGTTAAAGTCTGGACAGCTAATTTTCCGGTTCACTTGGGTTTGCTTGGGGAAGTAGTAAGTGCACTTCAAGGGAGGTGACCGGCTCCTCTCAGTCGCCCTTAGGAACCACTCACAATGAGCTTGATTTTGTTTATTTATTTATGTTTGGTACGTACCCCTAGCGGGAACCAAACCCGGGCCTCTCTGGTCCGCAGGCCAACTCTCCGACCGGCGAGGCAATAAGCTTGATTTGAAAAGTGATTTTTGCCCTGTTCACATTGGCCGGCTGCCGCCTCGCGTTGGCAAGTGGCTCCCTGTTAAACAGACCCCGGAGCACGTTCTGTCATCAAAGTCCCCAGAGAGGTACTAACTGTGACGCTTGTGTTTCAGTGTGATGTGCAAGCTCAGAAATGCCTTATGTGGATCGTCAGAATCGCATTTGTGGTTTTCTGGACATTGAAGAAAATGAAAATAGTGGTAAATTTCTTCGAAGGTACTTCATACTGGATACCAGAGAAGACAGTTTTGTTTGGTACATGGATAATCCACAGGTATGTAAAACCCAAAGGGTTACCTTTCTTCAGAAGCATACAAGGGTTTTACTGGTTAGAGTATTTGGCCTACTGCTGACGTTAGGACTTGTCTTCCCGAACAGTGTGTATTCAGACTCATTTCTGCTGGCGGCCCTCCCGCTGCCCGCACCCCCACGCCTGCTGTCTTGTTTGAATTCAGAGATGAAACCAAATGTATTTGGTAAAAATGTATACATCATACATGCTTTTCCTCCCTTGGGAGAGAAACACCATCTCTGTCAGAAGCTTCATAGTCATTTGGATTTAAGATGCTGCTCGAAGACAGAGACTGTCACCCGTTGGAAATGAGCTGCGGGAACAAGTCCCGTGTGTGTCCTCTCGTGCGTGAGAACGGGTCAGTCTCATGATGCCTCCATGAGCCGAAGGCCACTGTGTTTACTTGTTGCCTGCAAGTCACTAGGGGTGGACGTTGTGAATTAAAAATGAGAATCCTGCCCGGCCGTGTGGTTCAGTGGGTGGAGCGCAGTCCCCTGGACTGAGAGGTCCCCAGTTGATACCTGGTCAGGGCACATGCCCGGATTTCAGGCTTCATCCCCAGTAGGCAGCGTGCAGGAGGCAGCCGATTGGTGTATCACTCTCATCAATGTTTCTCCCTTCCTTACTCTCTCTAAATAAAAACATTAAAAAGGAGCAAGAGTGCGGTTCAAGATCTGTGAGAGACCTTGGATTAGAGATCATCTGCTGAGCACTTTTACATTTTCTCCTCCTGTGATTCTTTATTCAGATTGAGACGTATGTTGCCAGGAAGCATGTGCAGAGCAAGAGATGAGTCCCTGGCAGACGTCCAAGCTGTCCCGGCCCAGTGGGCTTGTGCGGGCGGGAAGAGCAGGGGCGGGAGGGGGGCCCGCTCTGCTGCACGGAGCGGGAGCCAGGTCCAGGGACAAGCTCAGGCGTGCTCTGCTGCCCTGCGCCGATCTCACGTTAGATAAAATACACGTGTGCGCATGTGCTTGTTGGTTCATGTGGGATTTCACTTGTCAGGGGCCTTGGTATTCATTCATTCTCCTTAATGTGAGAAACCCATTTATCCCTGGTCTTCACCTTGCTGTTTGAACTACATGTTACTAAAAGGTCTATATGACATTTGAGGCAGCTTTAATTACTGTTTGTTTTGTGAGCCATAATCTAGTTAATCCGACCTTTGCCCTTTGCTTTTCCTAAAGTAAGTCTAGACCTTTATCCACAAGCAGCCTTTCAAATTTTGGAGGATAATTTGTATTTTAATTCAATTTACATTATTTGAGTGCTGACTTATTTTTTGCTAGGAACTGTCTTTTCTCTGTTCTTATTCTTAAGAGCTTACTGATACCTGGTTTTACTTGCTTATCTCTGGGTGTGACCAGCTTCCTAGGGAGGTAGTCACCTGGCTATGTAACTACATGATTAATACCTTTATTTACCTGACCAGAGTCATTGGGAGAAGGAACAGGTCAGCAGAAATCAAAAGTTCATCTTTACCTTTTTTTTTTAAATCTTCACCCGAGGATATTTTTCCATTTATCTTCAGATAGAATGGGAGGGAGAGAGAGAAAACATCAGATGTGAGAGAGACACATTGATTGGCTGCCTCCCTCACAACCCCAACCAGGGCCAGGGACTGACCTGTAACCGAGATACGTGCCCTTGACCACAGTTGAACCCACGACTCTGGTCCTCAAGCCTCCGCTCTAACCACTGAGCAAACTGGCCAGGGCCACCTTTTTATTTTTTAACATAAATCAGATTCCTCCCTTTTGTGACCCCATCTTTATCTGTGGCACAAGCCCCCCCCCCCCACTCCGCTGTGTCGGGTCCTCTTCACCTGCCAAGCTGTGTGCATGGCTGCCTGTTCTCTCCCTCGTTCGTCTCTCTTCACAAGATCTGATTGGCTTATGTGTGGTTTCTCCTGAATTTCACTTTAAAACTCTTTTTTAAAAAAATAAGTATCAGTGGCTGCTTCCTGCTTGCCCCCTACTGGGGATCAAGCCCCCAAACCGGGCATGTGCCCTGACCAGGAAGCGAACCAGGACCCCTCGGTCCATGGATGACACTCCATCCGCTGAGCCACACCGGCTGGGCTTACTTTAAAATTCTCGACTGAACTTCAGTCTTCACGTATAACATGTCCTCCTCAGAATTCCTCCCTTTAGCAGTACTTTCCACTTCACTGGCGCTAAAGACGGTGAGTACAGAATAGTGTGCTGATTGCATGGGAGGGACACAGCTGGAATGCAGAGGGTGTGGCCATGGTTAGCAGAGGGAGGCAGCGTCCTCAAGGAGGTGGTAGCATTTGAAATTGACCTCGAACTGAGGACGTGATTCTGGATGAGAGGTGGAGAAGGGGCTGTTCCGGGCTCAGAACAGCTGGGCAGGGAGCCGGCGAGAGCCGGGGCGCGTCTGGGGAGAGGATGTCCCTGCGGCTGTGGAGGGCGGTGTGCGAGTTTGCACTCAACCAAGTCTCTTGCACACGCATTCTACTGCAGCCAGGTTTCTGTGTGTAATTAGAACATTGGTTTAAAAAGAAAGACATTTTTTTCTATATTGATTTTAGAGAGAGAGGAAGGGAGAAGGAGGGAGAGATAGAAACATCAATGAGAGAGAACATCGATTGACCGCCTTCTGCATGCCCCCCACTGGGGTTCAGCCCGACAACCTGGGCATGTGTCCTGTCCGGGAATTGAACCGGTGACCTCTTCGTGCATGGGTGACGCTCAACCACTGAGCCACACCGGCCGGGCAAAGTGTAGAATTTTATGTGTCCTTTGATTTGATTTGTTCTCAATAATTTTATCTCTTCATTCCAACTCATGAGAATCTTGTACAATCTTGATTCTGCCAACCATTGTATTAGCCATCAGTAGCAGATTTGTGTCACTTTTATATGTGTTAATAAAGATGTACGTTCATGAAAAATTCAGTAAAATGTCTCGCCAAGAGTGTTATATTAGATGGAACCATATGAAATTGCCAATACACCAATATTTTCATGTACTAAAAATGGCAATTTCATATGATTCAGTCTAGTTGCTCATGGTTACAGTGCTATAACAAATTATAATGATCATCATGACCCTGATGATGAAAGAGAATTAGTTTGGCTCACCTATTCTTAGGGAGCCGCTCTTCCTGTTTCCTTTATCACTGGCCATCGATTTAGAAAGTCCATTCTGTATTACTGGGGATCAGCCTGGGGCATCCTGTGCTGTGCTGAGGGTGTGGATAGTGGTGGAGAAGGCAGTAATTGAGTAGCTGTGTTAGGAAGTGAATTCGAAGAAACTTGAAAAGGTATTTTGGCAGAAAGGCCACAGGAACTTATAAGAACAAATGGCTTGTTTCCCTTTTTATCTTAAATGTCATGTTAGTTTATAATTTCTTGTTCATTGTCAAATAACACATTTGGAAACCCACTTTTTTTCTGGTTGAACTTGGCAGCAGTCACCCTGGTCCACAGGAACTAGGTATTTCGAATGTCCTGTGTTTCCCAGCTACTATGTTTCCTTGTCCTGTGCGCTGTTTAATCCACAACCCTGTGTGTCCTGCAGCCACGACGTGGATTCTCACGTCCTTCCGCACACAAAGGCTGAGAGCTGCATCCATCCTGAAAAAGGGACTTACCGAGGGCTTGAAGGAAAATTAACAGTTTTGAAGGGAAGGGTAGCAGTGTTTGAAAAAAATTACTTTGGTAGTCATTAGGAGGTCTTGACTACATTTTAAGTGTTTCATTTTCTTACCCAAAATTAAAAAACAAACAAACCTCTGTCTAAATGTAAAACATTTTGTATAAGCACACAACCATTTTTTTTTTAACCCTTGCCAGAGGATATTTTTTCCATTGATTTTTTTTGGAGAGCGTGGAAGGAGGGGGGAAGGAATAGAGAGAGAGAAAAAAAAAATTGATGTGAGAGAGACACATTGATTGGCTGCCTCCTGCGTGTACCCTGACTGGGGCCTGGGATCGAACCTGCAACCCAGGTATGTGCCCTTGACTGGCAATCGAACCCACGACCCTCTGGTCCAAAGGCTGGTGCTCTAACGTTTGAGCCACACTGGCAGGGCTAAGAACACCATTTAAAGTTACACTTTAACAATTATAACTTTATATCCATGTTTAGTAGTGGTTTACATTTGGAAGCATGTACATTGTATGTAGTTTAAAGCAGAACATAATGCGGTTTTACTTTACAAAGGAGTGAAAGTTTTGAAAATACCTGTCGCTGTCCACAGTAACAAGCTCATGTTGGAGACTCTCAGGTCTTTTAAACGTTTTAGCTTCCATATCATTAACTGTTTCCAGTAAGCTTGTAGAAGTCGGAGAAATGTACTTCCTGATCATTCATGAGAACAAGCCCAAAGATGTATTTTTTAATGTACAGTATTATAAAGTCCATTCAACAGTCGATCTTGCTTAATCTACAGCAGAGGAGACTTTCAAAATCCAGATTGTTTTAATTTTACTTTTGACATCTATCAGTCTTTTATTTTACATTTTAATTTTTTCCCCCCAGATTTCTTTATCTGGTTTTCTGACTCTATCTTCCTGCTCTGTAATTCATCCAGTTTATTATTTTACAGGATGCATTAAGCACAATTTTGATTACGGAACTGCTCACAAACCTCTGTCATGGTTTCAAATTCTTGACAGGATGCACTCCTGGGTCCTTTGCTTTTCCGCGGGGTCCTCTGTAAGGAGTCCTGGGTCGGTTCCCCGTTGCCTGGGCCCTGCGGCCGTCCAGGGCGGGCGCCTGCGGGGCCTCTGCTGCTGGAGCTCTGCTCCCCGCTCGGCTCTCTCCTGTGCTTGTGCCTCGCTCCCCTCTACGTGCCGCCCACCCTCCGGAGGCCGTCCTGGGAGCGGGAGCACGAGAGAGCTTTCCTTTAAGACACAAACCACATTCTAGCTTCGCTAAAGGAGGGATACAGACATTTTGTGTGAGCCCTGGCCAGTTTGGCTCAGCGGTTAGAGTGTGGGCCTGCGGTCCAGAGAGACCCGGGTTTGGTTCCGGCTAAGGGCATGTACTTCGGTTGCGGTTTGTCCCCGGCCCTTGTTGGGTCGTGTGGGTGGCGACCACTCGATGTGTCCCTTTCACGTCGATGTTTCTCTCTCTCTCTCTCCCTCCCACTCTATCTGAACAAAATATCAAAAAATGTCCTCGGGTGAGGATAAAAAAAAAAAAAAAAGATATTTTGTGTGAAAGTGTCAATATGTACGTTCCCTGGTATGGTTTAGGGAGTATCAATTAGCCCCAGCCAGAGTGGCTCACTCAGTTGGTTGAGTGTTGTCCTGTGCACCGATAGGTCACTGGTTCAATTCCTGGTCAGGGCACATGCCCAGGTTTCGGGTTCAATCCCCCGTTGGGGTGTGTGCAAGAGGCAACCAATCAGTTTCTCTCTCTGTCTCTCTCTCCTTTTCCCTTTCTCTCTAAAATCAATAAAAATCTTTTTTTTTTAAATAAAGAGTATCAATAATTTTTTAAAAATGTTATCAATATAAAGTTTTTAAATAGGGGGAAATTAAGTTTTTTAAACAGATATATTTGATTAAAAATTTGTAATAGAACAAACTAATATGTATAGTTTTGAAATTTCTTACGATTATGTCTCTAAATATTTTTCCTATTGCTTTCAGGAACAAAATCTGATCTTGTTTATGGATCTTTAAGTTCATGAAAAAGAAAATAAGTTTAGCTACAGTGATAAAAATAGCTTTTTAGTCTAGACTCTCTTTTGGTGGAACAGAGTGCACTTCAGTTTATTGTCAACTTGATTTCAGACCTGGTGACTGAACTGAAAAATCTGATTTAAAAATGCGATGTTAAAAACTCCAATATATTAACTTTGTACATGTGTAGAAAATTATAATACAAGATTATAATGTTGGATATTAACTCTATAGTAACCTTTTGTTTCCAGAATCTTCCTTCTGGGTCATCACGTGTTGGAGCCATTAAACTTACCTACATTTCAAAGGTAATCTTTCTGCCTTGAATTACATTAATGTTCGGATTAAAATCTGTTGGAATGGGAGTGTGAATAAAAGGAGCGATTTCCTTTCTCTGTCATTTAATGATGCTGTTCAGGTTCCTGTCAGGCTGAAAACAGTACCTGATTACTGTGTTTAGGATGTTCTTTGATAAAAGTAGGAAGAATATGGAATTAACAGGATATGATACGTTACAGGCGTTACCACTAATGTCAGTGGTGACGTATATGAACATCAGAAGGGGAGAAATCAGTTAACAATTAGGTTCTGTCTCTGGGAAATGGAAGATTTTTCTTAAGTCTGTGTTATATTTATTTAAACTGTTTCCAGTTTTTAATTTCATTACCTTTACTTTTTTGTTTCTTTATGATTTATTCTAAAGAAAGTATGAACTATCGCCCTGGCCAGTTTGGCTCAGCGGTTAGAGCGTCGGCCTGCGGTCCGGAGAGACCCGGGTTCGGTTCCCGCTAAGGGCACGTACTTCGGTTGCAGTTTGTCCCTCGCGCGGGTGGCAGCCACTCGATGTGTCCCTTCACGTTGATGTTTCTCTCTCTCTCTCCCTTCCTCTCTCTCCCTCCCATTCTATCTGTATAAAAAATGGAAAAATATCCTCGGGTGAGGATAAAAAAAAAAAAATCAACAAGAAAGTATGAACTATCTATTTATGATAAAAGAATGCCCCCCTCTTCCCCCCCCCCATACACTCATTTCATTTTCTCTCCACTAATTTATATTTTCTTGTTTGTTGATTTTTCCGGTATTTTTGCAATACCATTTTTCTTTTCAAACATTTAGATTTGGTATTGTCAGGTGGTTTTTATGTGTTTTACACAAAGTAATACTTCCATTGATGAGTTAATATATGAAATATGAAGAGTAGCAACATGGTATGAGTAAGAAACCTGCATTAACATACTGTTATGCATATATTGGGATTTGTTAGCAGGAGTCTTCAACAGGAGACCAATTTACAAGAGTCTCTGTTTAAAAGATATTTTTACAAATAAAATACTTTGTTATCAGTATAACAATAGAGCTATTTATTCTCATTGACAAAAGAATTAGACCTTGGACTATAAAGATTACATATTAAAAGGGAACCATTTTAAGTTAAAGCCATGTAATGTAAATGTATGAGACAAACATTGTTTCAGTTTACTCAAGTGTTCTTGTAAATTGAGACAGTTAATAAATGCTCTAGGGTAGCTTGCAGCTCGCAGTCTAGAGAGACTATTATTCGGAAGCATAGAATTCCATGGTAAAGTAAGTTGTAGGTTCCCAGTTTGAAAAATACACAAAAAAGGATAGATCCCCAGTTTGCGTGAAGCCTTTGGTGTAAGGTACACGGGTGTGAACACGGTGTGCTGCCCCGGGCCGGGCCTGGGCGCCGCCCTCGCTGGGACCGGCAGCGGAGGAGGAGGCTGCCCGCTGCCCGTCGCTGGCATCCTTACAGCTGCTGCTCTTAAAAATGGCAGCTCTTTTTATTTTTTTTCCAACGTAAAGAGTGCTTTTGATTGTTTCTTTATATTGGCACTTTTTTGGTACACGATTTTAATCACGGATTACTTTTTATAATTTTTATTTTTTATTTCAGTTACAGTTTACATTCGGTATTATTTTGTTGGTTCCAGGTGGAAAAATGGGAGCTCTTTTTAAAAATAAACCATGGACTAAGCAAGCAGGCCGCCTGGCCGCTGCTTCCCTTCGCAGTGCGCCCGTGTGGCGGTGCCGCTTTCTCCCGCCCAGGCTTGTCTGAGAGCCGCCTCTTTCCCCGGGATGGGTTCCTGGGGCGAATGTTCGTGTGGCCCGAGCTGTGGATTTACAGTTGAGATTGGTCAGGAACCCCAGGCTGAGTTCTTTGGAAGGTACAGACAGACACTGCAATCACAGGTCCTGACCCTGGGCAGCAGCGGGCGGACTTCCTGAGAACCGCTTGTCTACAGGGACGGCAGCAAGCCGCGCCGCTGGTCACCGCACCCGCTGGAAGGGGTCACGTGCCCCTGCAGTGAAGTGGCCCGCTGCCCAGGGCACCCCAGTGTATGCGAGATGGTCGGTTTAGTTTTGACTGTCTCTTTGAAGTAGATGCCTTCTGGATCTTTGGACTTTTCAAAGTATATATTCTCCCCCTTGCCTAGCATCATTTTCTCTTACAGTTCACAGCTATTTTAGAATATACAATTTGGGAATTTTTGTAGTTTTGTAGAGGTATTTTGAAAAATTTGTTAAACTAAAAGTATGTGTATGACATGAACCGTAATCATTCACCTTCCATTTCTTCACTTTCCTTTGGAAAAAACAAGTTCAAAGAGAACATGGAAGAACCGTCTGCCGCAGTGGCTGCGGGTGGACCATGTCCTGTACTTAACCTGCAGTTCTTTTTCAGCTGCATACATTTGCATTCAGATCTGTGTCGAGATGTGCGTGGCTGTGGGCCCAGGGGAGGCCACCAGCACTGACGGCTGGTGACAGTGTGAAGAAGTGAGTGACGCGTCTCTCTCTTCCACTAGGTCAGCGATGCCACTAAGCTGAGGCCAAAGGCTGAGTTCTGTTTTGGTGAGTAGCCCTGCTTTACCCGTGCGTTACCTAGGCTGATAGGGCGACCCCTACTGGAGAGAGAACCTTCGCCAGAAACCACACGGCCCCAACCGAAGGGCTAATGAATATTGTAAGGTGGATTCCCTTGAAACTGCCGTCCAGGTGAAGAAATAAAAGTGCTGCTCCCTTACCCCTGGAGCCTCTCCTGGGTCTCGTCCCCGTCCCAGCCCCTTCCCTCTGCCCGTATGTAGTCGTTGTCTGGGTCTTTATAGTGATCAGCTCCAGTGAGACTTCAGGACATTTTTTACTTTCTACCTCGTATCATTCTAGGTTCAATACTCAACTAATGAAAGGGATTTGGTTTTCAGCTTGTGGGTAATGCCCAGGTGACAGTGTGGGGTATGAGGGTATCTGATTAACTTGGTATCAGACATCTAGTGAGTGTCTAATACATGTGCGCTCTGCTTGGCACTGGGCTGAGAGTGATCGGAGCAGGCTTGGACCCCCCAGGCTGGCTGCCTCACAGGCAGGCACACCACCAGGTGACTGCGTGCTGAGTAGATGAGGCTGTGCAGTCTGTTAAAGGAGCACAGAGGAAGAGCTGCCTGTTCTTATTGGCGTCTTGGGAGTCAGGAGCCACAACCCTGGTCACCCTTTAGCATTGCGGAGAAGAGGTGGGAGGACCTCCTGGACAGGTGTGCGGAGAGCTGAGCCGAGTGTGCGGGGGAGCCGAGCGTGCAGGGGAGAGGAGCCGGCTTTGGGGGGAGCCGAGCCGAGTGTGCAGGGGAACCAAGCGTGCAGGGGAGAGGAGCTGCGTGTGCGGGGAGCTGAGCCGCGTGTGCGGGGGAGAGGAGCCGAGTGTGCAGGGGAACCAAGCGTGCAGGGGAGAGGAGCTGCGTGTGTGGGGAGCCGAGCCGAGTGTGCGGGGGAACCAAGCGTGCAGGGGAGAGGAGCTGCGTGTGTGGGGAGCCGAGCCGAGTGTGCGGGGGAACCAAGCGTGCAGGGGAGAGGAGCTGCGTGTGTGGGGAGCTGAGCCGCGTGTGCGGGGGAACCAAGCGTGCAGGGGAGAGGAGCTGCGTGTGTGGGGAGCCGAGCCGAGTGTGCGGGGGAACCACGCGTGCAGGGGAGAAGAGCTGCGTGTGCGGGGAGCTGAGCCGCGTGTGCGGGGGAACCAAGCGTGCAGGGGAGAGGAGCTGCGTGTGTGGGGAGCCGAGCCGAGTGTGCGGGGGAACCAAGCGTGCAGGGGAGAGGAGCTGCGTGTGCGGGGAGCTGAGCCGCGTGTGCGGGGGAGAGGAGCCGAGTGTGCAGGGGAACCAAGCGTGCAGGGGAGAGGAGCTGCGTGTGCGGGGAGCCGAGCCGAGTGTGCGGGGGAACCAAGCGTGCAGGGGAGAAGAGCTGCGTGTGCGGGGGAGAGGAGCCGAGTGTGCGGGGGAGAGGAGTCGAGTGTGCGGGGGAACCAAGCGTGCAGGGGAGAAGAGCCGTGTGTGCGGGGGAGAGGAGCCGAGTGTGTGGGGGAACCAAGCGTGCAGGGGAGAAGAGCTGCGTGTGCGGGGAGCTGAGCCGCGTGTGCAGGGGAGAGGAGCCGAGTGTGCGGGGGAACCAAGTGTGCAGGGGAGAGGAGCTGCGTGTGCGGGGAGCTGAGCCGCGTGTGCAGGGGAACCAAGCGTGCAGGGGAGAGGAGCTGCGTGTGCGGGGCACCGAGCCCTCAGTGACGCTGGTGGGAATGGGAGAGATCTGCATAAATACCCAGGCAGAGGTCAGGGCCTGATAGGTTGCTGACAAGGGACTTTTTTTTTGTTTTAAACGCCTAGTAAGAAATTCGTGTCTACAAAGCAGGCACAAAGCGAAGGAAGGTTTTTGTATTTAAAAATTATTTTTTATCTTCACCTGAGGACATTTTTCCACCTTTTATTCAGATAGAGCAGGAGGGAGAGAGAGGAAGAGAGAGAGAGAGAGAAACATCGATGTGAAAGGGACACACCGAGTGGCCTCCACCCGCACAACCCAACCAGGGCCGGGGACAAACTGCAGCCAAGGTGCATGCCCTTAGCAGGAACCGAACCCGGGTCTCTCCGGACCGCAGGCCGACACTCTAACCACTGAGCCAAAACGGCCAGGGCAGGTTTTTGTATTTTAATTCTTCGTGTGAATAAGATAATTTCGATACAGGTAGATTAGTTAAGTGGCTTTCGAACGACTATCATTATGTAAGGGCCTGACTCAGGGTGGGGGTAGGAAGGGTAGAAAACATGAGGAGATGGGCAGGGACCTGGTGACTGATGTGTGGGAATTGATTGGAAGAGAGGTTTGGGCAGGTTTGTAACAAGGAAAGAGATGAATCAAGGAGAGGGATTCGATAGGGTGAAATGTCTGGTAAGAAGGTTGAAATGGTGGAAACAGCCAGACGGAAATGTTCTGGTGACTGGTTGAGGGCTGGGTGGAGCTTGGAAATGGAGAATGGAGAAATTTGGAGTCTGTTCCAGTTGTGGGTGATAGTTGAAGCTGGGAGATGGATGTGGTCTCAGAGTAGGTTAGTGGGCGTTAGTGATGGAAGGGACAAAAACGAGGAGTGGCCAGCTGACATCAGGAGGGGCTGTTTTACACTAAGAAAGTACAGATACTTTCTGGGGAGGATTGATGTCCGAGTTCCCTGGTCTCTTCTGCACCGTGAGCGAGGAGACCGGTGCAGTCACACACTGCGGATATGCATTCCGTCTCCAGGGAGGCAGACACACCAGCCTCGTGAGGAGAGGCGGGGGTTCTAGGTGCGCAGCACGTGCCCTGGGCGGTCTTGGGGTGCGTCCGGCCTGGGTGTGAAGGAGCAGAGTCTAGACTGCATGGCTGACTGGTGTTTAAATGGTAACTTCAGTTGGCATCAGAGATTCTTTATCGGTCTGCTTTCAGTCCTCTGCTACTAGAGGGTAGAGAGCAGGTTCATGAAACGCGGGTCTCCAGAGAGGGGGCCCTGGCTCCTGAAATGGAACCACAACGTCCATTCAGAATGATGGCATGAAGACTTCCCACCCTTTCCTCTCACATTCCCAAAATAGAACAAGAAACAGCCAACCTTGGATGACACCAGCAGACGTGTAGCTTGCAGTGTGCGAGATGGAAAGTGGGCGGAGGGAGGGAAACAATGTAGCAGAGGAGACGAGAACAGTGAAACCAGCCTCTCCAGCCTCCAGCTCCAGAGACGGCCTGGGGAAGCAGCAGCAGGCGGCACCAGCAAAAGGGACTTAGCCCTGTGGTCCCTGCCTCCAGCTGGCAGCCACCCTTTCCCCATCCTGGCAAGAAATGGCGTCTGTATATTTTCAGACATTCTGTGCTTGGGGACACTGGTCCCAGAGGGGGGGAGGAGGCGTGCCCCTGGAAACGGGACTGCACACTGCGTGCACCCTTCCCGCGTCCGCCCCCAGCGTGGGCAGCAGGCGTCGGGGATGTGATGCTGGATGCCCGAGAGAGAGAGCCGTGGGCTGGGCGTTCCTGCCAGCAGAGGGTTGTACAGCGAAGCCCACCATGTGCCAGGGAGCTCCCAAGGCGTCTGAGCGCCTGTGCTGAACGTGGACAGCCCAGGACTAGAGGACATTGGAGGGAGGCCAGCTATCGACTAGTAAAAGGCACACGAGACAACGCAAAACTCAGGGGAAAGGGGGGAAAACCCTAAAAGTAGAGCAAAGGCAAAGATTGATTATAGGAGGGAAATGAGAAGAGTGTTCTGTTAGGAAGTCCGCTGTCTGATGACAGGGAGAGGACGGCAGAGGAGGCTGACAGGAGTGACGGGAGGAATGGCCGGAGCACTCGCCCACGGGGCAGAGCAGCTGGCGCTGGGTGGCGCGGCGAGGGTGGTCTGCAGTCAGCTGGCGCTGTGCCCGGGGCCTGCCTTGCTGTGCTCCTGTGGTGCTGTTTGCACCATGAAACCCTTGTTTTGCTTTTTATTGTTTTAAGATTTTGTTTGTTTGTTTGTTTTACTGAGAGAGAAGAAGGGAGATGAAGAAAGAGAAACATCAATATGAGAGCAAAACATCGATTGGCTGCCCCCTGCACGCCCCCTCCCGCACGTCCTGGCTAGGAAGCGAACTGGCTACCTTTGGGTGCACAGCCGACGCCACACCAGCTGAGCAGCCTGGCCAGGGCAAAACCCTTGCTTTGAAAGCAAGACATCTTTGAGGGTTCATGCACTTTGTTGTTGTCATTCTAAGTTTTCTTTCTTTCCTGGTGCACCTCCCTCAACATTGCTAATATGCCACTTTTCAGGAATTTGCTTTACATTTTTCAAGATGCTTTCTTCTACTTGGAAATCTCCTAGTGACGGTGATGGAGATCTGTTCTATCACCTCCACCCCTCAAGGCAGGGTGGGCATTCCATTTCATAGGTGAGAGGGGCTCAGAGGGGTTGAGTCATTACCCGGTGACACTGCTAGTAGGAGCAGGGCCGTGCGGTCTGACCGACCCGGCTCTGGTTTCCGGCCACATCACTGCCGCCTTCTGCCGTGAAGTCACACTCGCAGCACCTGAACTTCAGACTGCAAGGTGTGCCGAGTCTTTTCAGACATGCTTGTCTCCTCCTCCCCTCACAAGAAGCTCTTCCACAAGCGTCACTCACTGAAGTGGGCGTCTCAGGCACTCACTTCGTGGCAGGTGCGGTGCTTCAAGGCGCCAGCTCGGGGGCTCGGCAGATGCCCAGGGCAGTTTCGGGAGGAAGGGGCCCTTATGAGGAGAGCTCAGCTGCAGCCTAAGTTAGAACAAGGTTGTGAAAGTGTGCGATACTGATGGCTAGAAACTGGAGACGTGAGCTAAAGGTGGACATTGTCCTCGTGAGTTATCAGTTGATCTTCACTTATATCTGTGGCATTTATAATTTCTCCAGTCTCCAGTTTCCAGACCAGTTGTTTTATAGCACTCACAAAAAGTGACTTGATTTCCTTTCTGAGACTTCATCTCAATTCCAGGAAGCTCTGGTTTAGTGTCTTGATCTCAGTTTCAATGTCAAAATCTGTACATTTGAGAAATACCTTTTTCTTTCATTTCCACCTTTCTTTAGCCATACTCAGCTGAGTGCTACTGCACCGTTTAAAATTTTGATGGAGCCTGACTGGTGTGGCTCAGTGGCTGAGTGTCGACCCTGCACCAAGACGTCGCCAGTTCAATTCCCGGTCAGGGCACATGCCCAGGTTGTGGGCCCGATCCCCAGTGGGGGGCATGTGGGAGGCGGCCGATCGATGTTCTCTCTCATCGATGTTTCTCTCTCTCTACCTCTCCCTTCCTTTCTCTCTAAAAGTCAATAAAGAAAAAAAACTTATAAAAAATAAATAAAATAAAATTTTGATGGAGACTTTGGGGAGTTATTCTGCTATTTCAAAAATTACAGCAGTAACCATTCAGATGCTTTAGCTCCTAAAATAATGTTTGTTTTATGCACATGATACGTAATTAATGAGCTTTAATCTAGGAGTAGAGTGTTAGTTTGTAGACAGCTGTATACACAGAGAGATGGTCTTTGCTTCAGTCAGTAAAGGGGTAGATATAAATTTACATATAAAGAAAATATACAGGTGCCGGAAAAATAAAGATGTTTATTATAATCTTGAGATTTTCAAAATATGATATGAAAGCTAGAGTGATTTAAAAAGAAAGGGAAAGATTGATAGAACATTTCCGTTTTATAAAAGATACCATGAACAGTGAAAAGAAAAATAGATTGGAGAAAGTCTTCTTGAAATAAAAAAGGATCAGTATAAAAGCTTTTATAAATCAATAACCAACAAATGAACAAACTATTCAGGGGAAATACAGGTAAAGAAAATACACAAAGCTTATGGAACAAACACACATGGCCAGTAAACACGGAAAAGTAACTTGTGTCAGTAGTCAGAGAAATCAGGTTTAACGAGGTGTAATTACTCACCAGCTAGGTAGTCTGCGCGCAGGAGCAGCCAGGGCTGGGCAGGGAAAGACCACACCAGTATCTCAGACCCTGGGGATTTGCTGCACGGAGCTGGTTTTCAGATGTGAGGAATCTGGAAGAGCCCAAGGGGGTGCTGGAGTGACCTGCAAGTTAGAAATTGCTGAAGGGGCCTCCACCCTGGGGCTGGAGGGGCATGATGGGAGAGGTAAGAGCCAGAGCCTTGGAGGAGGGGCCGCCTTGGAGCTGGTGATCGACCTGTGGGAGGGCGGGGCCAGGGTAGGGAGCAGGCTAGCTGGTTGTGTGCTTCCGCTGCTGGGAGAGCCCTCCCCTCCCCTCTCCCACCTGCCAGCCGCACCCCTGCTGCCGCTGCAGAGCCTGAGCTGAGGATGTCTAGGAAGCACTGTCTGCTGACTCCTTGTGGGCGTCACAACCCCGGGAGCGGAGAGCAGGAGGGCCTGAGGAGCACAGGTGCTGGCAGACCCTGCCGGTGCCCGGTGGGCCGCGGCGCCCTTCCCCACACTTGATGGGCGTGTGGGGGGTTCAGCCTTTGGGAAGACGATCGGCCGGTATCTGTGAAATGTTTTACTATGAATTCCCTTTGATCCGAGTCTGTGTTCAGAAATTTATCCTATAGAAATGCTTGTCCAAGTATGGAGAAAATATGTATATGATGTTTCATTGGAATATTTTATATAGGTTCAAAAATTGGAAATAGCCTAAATGTCCTTCATTAGGGGATGGGCCAAATATATTCTTTTTGTTTAATGAAAGACATGGCCATTAAAATTAAAAATTTTACCTGTGTTATTGGATGATAACAGCAGTGCTATCTATGGTGTAACATTTTGTCAGATCTGGGAGAGTTGCAGTATTGAACCTGGCATGGTTTTTCAGCTGCTACAGACACAAACTTAGAGGTAACAAGTGCAAAATTTCACGTGTTGTAGTTTATTCTTTTCTCTCAACAGTTATGAACGCAGGGATGAGGAAATACTTCCTACAAGCTAATGATCAGCAGGACCTGGTAGAATGGGTCAATGTGTTGAACAAAGCTATAAAAATTACAGTAAGTATTTGTATTTTAAACGTTTTGATGTCTAGAAGCATTCTTCACATTTTGAAAATATGCCCACTGCATAATAACCGAATTACCAATACATTGCATACTCAGGGTTTATTTAAGACCCCGGTGTTGATAATGTGAATGCATCTTCTTGTACATGGTGACTGTAGCCCTTAAAACCAGCCCCAAAATGTTTTTCTAAACCCTTCTGTATTGCTGTCGATTTCAGCCGTTGCTTATAACGATGTTTCTAGGGAAACGCAGTGCTGAGTTGTACCTGGAGGGTGTTTTGTTCTCCTAGAGCCTGGGTTCCTGCCACCCACCAGGCCTGGGAAGGGGAGGGGAGGGGAGGGGGGCGAGGTGAAGGCATGGCCCTGAGGTGCTGGGTTAGGGACTGACCTCAAGGGCTGTGGCAGCCAGGTGCCCACGTGGCCTTGGGGAGTGTGTCTGGGTCTCTGACTTGTGCGTCCAGAGCTGGCTGCCCGCACACTCCTTATTCATGTCGCCTCTTCTGCTTCCAGCTTCTCTCTGGTTCTCCGATGAACATCAGTGCGTAGTGATAGTCGCGGGGTACGGGTTGCCTGCCTTCCCTGGGCTTCTCTCTGTGGTTCTCCGATGAGCATCAGTGCGTAGTGATAGTCGCGGGGTGCGGGGTGCCTGCCTTCCCTGGGCTCTCTGTGGTTCTCCGATGAACATCAGTGCGTAGTGATAGTCGCGGGGTACGGGTTGCCTGCCTTCCCTGGGCTTCTCTCTGTGGTTCTCCGATGAGCATCAGTGCGTAGTGATAGTCGCGGGGTGCGGGGTGCCTGCCTTCCCTGGGCTTCTCTCTGTGGTTCTCCGATGAACATCAGTGCGTAGTGATAGTCGCGGGGTGCAGGGTGCCTGCCTTCCCTGGGCTTCTCTCTGTGGTTCTCCGATGAGCATCAGTGCGTAGTGATAGTCGCGGGGTGCGGGGTGCCTGCCTTCCCTGAAGGTGTGGCCCGAATCCTGTGGAAGCACAGAGTGACTTTCTCAGGTCTCAGCTGGGCAGTGTGGGGCCATGACCGATCTGTCTACTGCGGGTCTCCCCCCAAGCACAGTGCCCCTGGCTTCCTTCTCTCCCTCCCCCAATGAGTGAAAATGGACTTTTCCGGAACAGCTGGGACTGATGGTGGTAAGGAGGGAGCAGGTTCGATTCCTGCTTGTAGTTTTGACTGGTCTCCCCGACATGCTGGTGGGGAACACAGTAGGCCTGCGCGGGAGGGCCAGGGTGGGGGGTTCCTGAGGGAGCCTGTGTTTTCACCCACATGCAGGGTTCTACTGATCCCGAACAACTTACTCTTGAAAACAGGCCCTGAGAGCCCACTTCCATCGCAGTGGGGACAGGCCGGCGCAGTGCGCTGTCCTCAGACGGGGCCAGTGTCTCTGTCTGGCACCGGGATGCTGTGCCACATGACAGCCCATGTGGCACAGGTGGGTGTCGGTCTGTGCGCTTCAGGAATGCAGTTTTCACGGATTCAGCAGTGTGAATTTATAAATGGTTTTCGCCGTTTTCAACTCTGCTGATAAATAGTCCCCCCTTTGAAAGTTCCCTTAGAAGACAGTGTCTAGTAATGACGGAACGAGCTCAGTGCTTAGATTTCACTAACAAGCAACCAGGTCTCCTCGCTTTCCGGGGAGCGAAAGTGGTGAGGGGTCTGGCCTGTGGCGGTGGAAGGGAGGGCGCGAGGCCCGAGACCCTGCCTGTCGGACCCTCGCTGTCCGCCTGGTGACACGCTTTCTCATTCTCGTTAAACGGGCAGCTGGCTTTTTTTTCCAGTCCTGAAAATGTTTATTTATTTATTTATTTAATTTTATCCTCACCCGAGGACATTTTTCCATTTTTTGTACAGACAGAGCGGGAGGGAGAGAGAGGAACAGAGAGAGAGAGAGAGAAACATCGATGTGAAGGGACACATCGAGTGGCTGCCACCCGCACGACCAACCAGGGCCGGGGACAAACTGCAACCGAGGTACATGCCCTTAGCGGGAACCGAACCCAGGTCTCTCTGGACCACAGGCCAATGCTCCAACCGCTGAGCCAAACCTGCCAGGGCTGAAAATGTTTATTTTAATGGCTGAGTTTAGACTAGTGTTAGAATTTTATTATTATTATTATTATTATTATTATTATTTTTTTTTTTTTTATCCTCACCCGAGGATATTTTTCCATTTTTTGTACAGATAGAGTGGGAGGGAGAGAGAGGAAGGGGGAGAGAGTGAGAAACATCGACGTGAAGGGACACATCGAATGGCTGCCATCCGCACGACCAACCAGGGCCGGGGACAAACTGCAACCGAAGTACGTGCCCTTAGCGGGAACCGAACCCGGGTCTCTCCGGACCGCAGGCCGACGCTCTAACCGCTGAGCCAAACCGGCCAGGGCTAGTATTAGAATTTTTCAGGGAGTTATTATATTCCTGGGTGATTTGCTTGTGTCTTCTTGCTCTTAGGGGAGAGATGATTGTAGTTCAGCTGACTTGGATTGTGAACTGCGTTCTGAGTCCTTGGACTCTGGGGGGTCAGCTGGACCCGCATGTCGTCTGTTATGAGGACAGGTCAGAAGCGGCGGCTCAGCCTCACAGGCAAGGGTCCCAACACGCTGCTCTGTGCGGACGAGAGGAAAGCAGTGCAGATGGCAGCGTGCTCTGGGGGTGGGGGGGGCTCCCGGCTTCTGAGAGGGGAGCAGCTGCTCCCGTGGCCCCTCAGCAGCACGCCCGCAAGCACAGCGAGGGTCCTCCCCTCGTGTCAGTGCCCTCAGTCTCTCTCTGTTTCAGCGGGGTGACTCGTCACGTGTCCTCAGTCAAACAGTTCAGGCACACGATGCTGCTCAGTAGAAAGTGCTGCGGCTTCCTGGGGGTTCTGGGAGGCTGGCCGCGGACCCTTTCGCTCCGGGGCACGTGTGTGCATCTCGTCCAGTACAGTTGGTTTGAAAGGCAGGCAGCCTATTGGAGACCCTAGGAGAATTCCGGGGCCCCCTTCAGGAGCTCTCTCTTCCCTTCCCTTCCTCTCTCTCATTTCTGCCGTGACTGGCATTGTCCTGTAAGTACGGGTGAGAGAGGGAGGGTCGGGCTGGGCCCGGGAAGAAGAGGGGGTTGTATGTCTGTGGACTGGGTTGAGGACAGCCGAGTCCTCACACACGTGGCGCGCGTTTGCCCAGCATTTTACGAAAAGCTGCTTTGTGGAGCGGTGTCCGCAGACGCTGTTGTGTGCGCGCTTCTCCCCTGCCCTGGTGGGAGCAGCCTCGTGAGAAAGCACAGGCTTCGGAGCGGGCGGTGTGCTCAGCGTGGTCCCTGCCGGAAGCGCACTGGACTCACTGAGTCCGAATTTCTGGGTGTGGAGCCTGGGTGACACCCCACACCCACTGCGGAGCACGCACTCCCAGGAGTCTCCGCGAGGGGCTCAGGTCTGAGGCGTGTGAGAGCCCCTGCCCTGCGCCAGGACCTGTGAGCAGGTCGCTGTGCAGACCAGCTGCTTCGCCCTGGATCCGTGTTGCTCACGCGCTCCGTGCCTGTGGGCGTCTGTCCCCATGTTTCCGGAGTGCAGGGTCCTCGGGGCCCTTGAGTCACTGGAGAATCGGATGTCGTGTTCAGCATCCTAACTAGGGCTGGCACATTTTATTACATATTGTTCAAACTTAAACCTTTGCAGTTCAGTACAGACCACGTGAAACTACCACCGACAGAAATAGGGCCTAACCACGCACCCGCTCCCGGATCAGGCGGGCCAGGCAGACGGCGCGTGCGCTGGACAGCTGTGGTGCCGTGGGCTCCACGCCGGCGGGGCTCACGTGGAGTTCATGCATTGAGAGTCTTGTTTGTCCCTGTGAGTGATTTATCACTGACACAGGCGTCAGAATTCCTTTCTAAAATTCCTAATAAATTGTTTTTCTTAAATCCTCACCTGAGGATATTTTTTTATTTGTCTTTAGATAGAGTGGGAGGGAGGGAGGGAGGGAGAGGAAGAGAGAGAGAGACTTCAACAGATTGCCTCCCCGCACGACCCAACCAGAGTCTGGGACTGAACCACAACCGAGGTATATGCCCTTGACTAGAATCAAGCCCACGACTCTGGTCCGTGGGCCAGAGCTCTAACTGCTGAGCCGAACCTGCCAGGGCAAATTCCTAATGAGTTTTAAGTTATTTTGAACATTTCTTACTTAATTCCTGTCAAGTATTTTATTATTTTCCTGCTGACTTTAGATCCGTCCACTGAGTCGGTCTCAGCGCCTGCTGGAGGCTCAGTGCGTGGCGGCAGCAGGCTGCCCACAGGTGGCAGTGGGGCGCGGGCCTGTCCCGGCCCCGGAGGGCACGGCCCGGAAGCAGAGTGCCGCGAGGGGCTGCAGCCGTGCGAGGGGCGCGGGGCGCGGGGCACGGTGCCGTGGCGGAGTGGACCAGAGTTGCACAAACTTGGGCAGAGTGCGGTGTGTCCCCCATGCTCCGAGCCTGCTGTCATTCTCGCTGCTCCATGAGCGCTGCCCCGTGCAGGGGCTGGGGGGAGGACGGAGAATGTGTAGGGAGAGCACCTGCCCGAGCGAGTACGGCGCCGGCTGGCACAGGGCACTGAGGGGAAGGAGCACGGCGGCTCGGCCGCGGCACACACTGCCACATGGTGGACTGCGGCGGCGGGAGTTCTGGGGGAGAGGCCACCCGAGTCATGCTGCCGCATCACCTTCATCTACTCACGTTCTAGGTACCAAAGCAGTCAGACGCACAGCCTCATTCTGAAAACCCGAGTCGCCACGGTGAATGCGGGAAGAAGCAGGTGTCCTACCGAACGGACATCGTTGGCGGTGTGCCCATCGTCACTCCCACTCAGGTGACCGCTTCATTCTTCTCCGGGAGGTGACTTTGCAGCTGCGCATCGGCTTCGTGTTGTCACCAAGCCCACAGCAGCACCTCTTCTGAACCAGCAGTCAGTGAGCACAGCCACGCGTGGGTTTCTTCATTTCAGAGCGTGTTTGTTGTAACAAATTAGAAGTCCCAGATAAACAACACTTCACTTCCATGTTTTTCTCAGCCTTTCTTCCCTGTACTTTTGCCCCCAGTAATGGAGATACAATCAGACTTGGACAACACGGGTTTGAACTGCATGGCTCTGTTTACACGCAGATGTTAGTCAATCCCTGTTCTGTTTTCCATCGTGTTGGGAGCCTGGGGTGCAGAGGGTGGCTGTCTGCGTGGACCTGTGCCATTCACGGAAGGCACTTGAGCACCTGTGGACTCTGGTATCTGGGGGGTGCCGTGACCCAGTCCCCTGCAGATACTGAGGGACGACTGAGTTTTGGGGCATCCCTAACCTCCGTGTTGTCCAAGGGCCAGCTGTCCTTTGTTAACGGCTTTTTCCACTCACATCTCAAATGTATTTCAAGCCATCAGAAATTATTCTTCATCATTTCTAATGACCGTGTAGTGTTTTGTTGCTGGTGTCTCGAGAAAGGCATCTCAGAGGACCCACGCAGGAATTGACGCACAGCGGCAAGACTACTGGGGTGAAGGGAAATACTGCCCCCCGGGGATGTGGAGGGCGGGTGGGCCCTGGCAACCACCACCGAGAGCCTTCGGAAGCCTCTGCACTTTTTCTTGGTTTTCAGGAAGGAGCAGGCTTGCTTCCTTTTTTTTTTTTAACTCCTCACCTGAGGATGTTTTTCTGTTTATCATCAGATGGGGGGGGGCTGAGAGAGAAGGTGTGGCTCCTATTCACTCGGGAGCGTCTGCTCCCTTGGCTCCACCCTTTCTCGGTAACCAGCCGCCTGTGCTGACGTTTTCACGTGAACGACCGCAGTGCACAGACCTGTTGGACAGAGCTGTCTCTTCTGTTCTCTCTCCCCAGTGAGCAGTGTGAGCAGGGAACCGCTCTCCCCCGCGTGCTGCTGTCTACGTCTCCCTGCCGGCAGCACCCTGCGCCACGCCGAGCGCTCCTCCCCCACACTCAGCAGCCGGGCGCCGGCCGGTGTCCTGGGCCCCGTAGGTTCAGGACTCAGTCCCGCAAGACTGCCCCCCGCCTTTGCCCTCTTGATGCCAATCGCAGGTCCAGGTGGCGGTTACCTGCTTCCGACCCATGGGCTGTACTCGGAGACCCCACGGTGCCCTCCTTGGGTTTCATCCACTTGCTAAAGCAGCTCACACAGAAGTAGGGGGACAGCTCACTGACTGTTCACGGGTCTGCTATGAAAGGGTGATGAAGGTCAGCGGAGCACCCAGAGGGACAGCTGCAGGGCAGGTGTGGGAGGGAGTGCGGAGCTTCTGTGCCCTCGCTGGGCATCTCCCCCTGCACCCCCGGTTCATCAGGCTGATGCTCTCTGAACCCCCCGTCATAACTCTGTTTGCAGCCCCTCTTCCCTCTCCGGAGCATGGGGTGGAACTGGGAGTCCCAAGCTCCTCATCCGGCTCGGTCTTTTAGGTGGCCAGTCCCCATGCAGGAGCCCCCATGCAGGGGCCCCCACAGTCCCCTCAGAGCAGACACTGTTCTCACCGGGAACTTCAGGGGGTCAGGAGCTCCGTGTCAGGAACTGGATCAAATACGAAATCACGGAACAGAGATGCTCTTGTCACTGAAGAAATGACAGGGTTGTAGGAAGCTCCTAGAAGTAAAATGGCCAGATCGAGGTGTCTGTGAACGTCTGTACTTCTTTAGGTCTGGCCTCGATGAGCTGAACAGAGGACCGGAGTTTTGACTCAGTTCTATCCGAAAAATACTGATGTGCTAAATTCTTATTTGAGTATTATAGAAAATACAAACTTATAAAAGTTACAAAAAATTAAACCTTTTGCGGGAGCTTCATGTCCTGTGTTGCTGCTGAGGGGGTCCTGTGGCAGGGACAGGCGCCGGCGGCTGAGAAACCGGCCGTTGGAGTTGCCGTTGCCTGGCCCTTCGTGACCGGTGTGCCTCTCAGCTTAAAGGCCTTGGCGCTTCATGAACCTTTAAAATTCAGTTCTGTTTTCCACCGTGATTTTCAGGCCTTTTCCAGGGGGCAGAGATTAGAGAAAGAATTCGAACTACATTAATGATTACAGAGTACTTTCTCTGTGCTGGGCAGAGGGTGTATCAGTGCGCGGAAATTCTCTGCTCCAGTGAGGTTACATTTTTCTCCAAGTTCAGTAAAATAATCTAGCCCTGGCCAGTGTGGCTCAGCGGTTAGAGTGCCGGCCCGCGGACCAGTGAGTCTCAGGTCTGATTCTGGCCAAGGGCAGGGACCTCGGTGGCGGTTTGTCCCCAGCCCTGGTCGGGGTTATGCAGGAGGAAACCAGTTGATATTTCTCCCTCTCTCCCCCTTTCTCTTCTTCTCTCCTTCCCACTCTATCTGAAGATAAATAGAAAATATCCTCGGGTGAGCATTTAAAAAAAAAGCATTTAGACTATATATTACCAAGAAAATGCCAAATCTCATTTGCATGATTAGTAACTATTGGGCCAGTGGTTAAGTGCTGGGAATACAAAGTGAAGGATACAATTAGTGCTGTCGACCTGTCCAAATGTAGGACAGGTTGGAATTCCTCAAGTTAGGGTTTGAGCACTTTGTTTTTCTCTTGAAATCTAGGAGAGCTGGAAAATGTGTGTTTGGCTGGTACGTGGTATTCTGCGTGATCGCGGTTGTGTGCCGTAAATAAGCAGGGAGCTGTGCTTGGGGTGAAAACCCGAGGGCAGCTAGATCGTTCTTTACAAGCATCGGGCTTTCGGGTAAAGACAGCACCTACACTGCAGCACTGTCAGAAGGGGTGCAGGAGGGGCTGCGCAGGCTCGGGGACCAGCCACAGAGCTGCTGGAGGCGTCGTCGAGAGCACAGCACGCAGGAGGGAATTGGTGAGCTTGACCTCATCAAAATGCACGACGCTGGGTGAAGGGAGGCTCCCATTGGGGGAAGGAGTTTGCAGACCACACGCCCAGCAAGCACCCGGACGGGATGGGGAACTAGCAGCCTCACAGTGAGACAGTGCGGTCAGAGAGTGGGCGACTTCATGGGCGGAGCCCAGAAAGGGGAGGTGCAGGGGAAGACCACGGAGAGAGACCACGCACGCCTGTCGGACGACGCCCCTGGAAGGTGACGGAAAGGCCGGTGCTGACGAGGACGAGGAGACGGAGCACGTGCCCTCCCTGCCGGCCGCGAGGGCAGCGCCCTAGAGAGAGCCTGGCAGACTTTTATGAGTAAACTTGCAGTGTCTACGTGAGCCAGCAGCGACCCTCTGAGGCGTGCATCCCAGAGAAGCAGACTTACGCTCGCACACGGGTCTGCGCGTGAATGTTCCTAGCAGCTTCACCCTCATCGCCCCAACAGGAAATGGCTCAGATGCTCTTTAACGGGTGGATGGCCAGTGTGCTGCCGCCCAGCCGTGAGAACCTCTCGGTGACAAGAAGGGACGGGCATTTGATATGGGGAGCAGCCTGACGGAGCTCCAGAGAGCTCGGCTGAGTTAAAAAGGCACTTTCTTCTGGCCGGTGTGGCTCAGTGGTTGGGCGTTGGCCCTGCACCAAGAGGTCGCTGGTGTGATTCCCAGTCAGGGCACGTGTCCAGGTTGTGGGCCAATCCCCAGTGGGGGGCATGCAGGAGGCAGCCAGTCAATGTTCTCATCGATGTTTCTATCTCTCTGTACCTCTCCCTTCCTCTAACGTCCATAAAGACAAATTTTTTTAAAAAGCCACTTTCAAAAGCTCCCATTGATTTCACTTGTATTATGTTCTCTAAATGTTAGAAAAGTGAGATGGGGGCGGAGGAGTGGTTGCCAAGGGGTGGGGGGAGGGCTCAGAAGGTGGCCTCAGGGCCTGTGGTGACGGACACTGCTGTAGGTTGGCAGCGGGCAGGGAGGGTGTGAAAACGCATAGCGTGGTGCACATAGACAGACAGACTGCTTGTCCACCTGCTGGACTGCGCGTGGCCATGCAGCACCCAGTGTTCGTTTGCGGATGGCTGTGCTCACCGTTCCCCGTTGGGGGCACCGGTTTGGAGGGTGTGCAGGCCTTCCTGTTGGTGTTTAGCATCACTTCCTGTGAATCTATATGATGACATCAACAGGAACAGTGAAGCCCCCCGACCCTCAAAGGCACAGCTGGTGGGACTTTTGCAGAACAAGGGAACAGAAATCTGTGGTCAATCGGTGGTGGAGGCTGAGGTTTCCCTGGGGTGACTGCACGGCCTGCGGTGAGCTTTCCCTGTTCAGTGTTTCAGTTCCCGTCGACACCCAGCACCTCTGCTGTCTCAGGCGCACAGCACGGGCGACGGCCGCCCACGTGACAGCCCTGATGGCCGTGCCCGCCGTGCCGCCTGCGATGCTGCTGCCCGCACCTCTGCTCTCCGCCCCCGCGTGCTTCGGTGCCGAACCCTCAGGACACTTTTTTTTGCTTCATTTTAGAAAGAAGAAGTTAGTGACTGTGGCGAAGGTGCTGACAGAAACCATGTGAAACGGTCCCAAAGCCACCTGCCTCACCTTGCCCCCAAACCCTCCTCCGACAGTGCGGTCATCAAGGCGGGCTACTGCGTCAAGCAGGGGGCGGTGGTGAGTACCAGAGTGCGCAGTGCGCCCCGCGAGCCTCAGGGGCCAGAGGGCGCCGGCGAGGCGTCTGGAGTGGGATGCTCGGAGCGCGGTGCTGTTCTTTCCTGGGTCTGTGAGCAGCTGGGCAGATCAGTTCTCAGTGTCCCTGACCTTCATTTCAGATGAGCTTTCCTAACTTTATTTCAGAAGGTTTTTCTGTGGGTCCCCCTGCCCTTGGGAGTGGGTAGGGGAAGAGCAGGGAAGAGGGCCGGGGGTGCGGTGTGGACGTCATCTCAACACCACCCCACTGGATGTTGGGCTGACCTCACTTGAAAGCTCTGTGACCTTGGGCTACTTCGCCTTTCAGCCTCTCCGTTCCTTTGGAAGGAGAGTCGTGACACCTGCCCTCCAGAGGCTCCTTGGGGAGGGGTGAAGTAGAGGGTGCCTAGTCCTGGGCGAGCCCAGGCCCCTCACGTCCAGGCCTGTGCGGGGCACACTGCCCAGTGTCTCTGACACGTCCTGCTTCCCGTGTGAAGGTGGGGGCAGGGCTCCACTCCCTGTCTGCAGTCAGCACCCTGAGCCTGACCCCGTGCCGGGCCTCCTCCCGAGACGGCCCTTGACTCTCGAGTCCACAGCCACCTGGAGACACCCAGGTGCTCGCACAGACGCTCACTGACAGAGGTCGTGGTGCGGAGCAGGTTCGCTGTCGGTGCAGAGCGCCTGCTGGTGGGGAGACTCGATGGGGTTCAGTGACCTTCCTGTCCTCGCTCTCAGGCCCTGGAGAGAGCTTATGTTGTTGGGTTGGAGGTGGGAAGGATGGGGAAGTGCTTTTTTTTTTTTTTTTTTTTTACTTTTAGAGCATTAAAAATATGCATCTCTGTTATCCACTCATGTGATAGAAGCTAACAACCGGCCACCAGGGCTGGATTGGGGGTCAAAGCCCAGGCAGCAAAGACGCGCGGTCTCAGGACCCCTCGCTGGGGAGGGCGCTGTGCCCTCTGCAGGGGCCGCAGTGGGGTCAGGTCCGGGTGATGCAGCGGCCGCAGCGTGCGGCCCTCCGGGGACAGAGCCTCACGTCTGTGTTTGTCTCGCAGATGAGGAACTGGAAGAGGAGGTACTTTCAGCTGGACGAGGACACGATCGGCTACTTTAAGTCCGAGCTGGTACGTCGCTCGCCACAGAGCCTCCTCTCCGAGTCCGAGACGCGCTCCAGGGTGGTGTTTATACATACATGTGACTTCTTGTCCCCGCTTCTACTTCTAGAATAGTTAAACTCTGGTTTGAGAGGCACATACAACTCAGACTTTGCTGCGATGCTTTTGGTTAACGGTATCTTTGTTAAATCCACCTTAAATGAAAAGGTCCTATCTTCAAAGGATCCCACCTGGAAAGAATTAAAATGTCAGAGCCCTCAGTCCCTGGTGTCCGTGAAGGGCCCTGGAGGAGGGGAGGCAGAGTGTCTGCAGGCCGCGTGCAGCCCCGCGCTCCCGTCCTTCCTCCCTGCTCTGTCCAGGGCTTCCCGTCGGGTTCGCTGCGAGGCCTCTTCATGCACCTCGTTCGGTTCTGTCGGAGGCGGAATCAGACTGAAGTCCCCTCTCTCGCTGGTGTGAGCGTCGTCCTCATGTAAACATTCGTGTCACGTGATGACACGTCTGCACTTGACACAGCTGACCTGCCTCCTCTTGTTTTCGGGGCCTCTGAGGGACAGAATGCAGGCAGCACGCGCTGCCGGGGGCCTCCCTCGGAGCGGCCTGAGCTCCGTGGGCCATGCGCGGCTGCCGAGTGCTGAGATGAGGGCGGTGGTGTGACGGGGGAGCCTGGCTTTGTTTGATTTTAAACGAAAATGGATTGTATCTGCCGTCTGTCGACTGACATCAGTCGTTGCGCACGGCCTGTGGCGCTGTGCGGGTGGCCCAGCACCAGAGAGGAGGAGGAGAGCTGGTTCCCCTCGGGTCTGTTCCTCTGGGAGGCTTTGACTGCACGCCTCCCGGTCCCTGCTGCCCGCTCCGCTCCTGGGTCTGTGCGCTCCTGTCTCCACCAGGAGCTGACCGCTGGGAGGTCCTTGGTGCCTCTGAGCTGTGGACGCGGCTCCCAGTACTTGCTGAATAAGCAGCAGTTCTTGTGAGTGAAGGTGACGTGGCCCAGCAAGAGCCCTGTCGCAGCAGGGCCTTTGTCCACTCAGATCAGGGCCTCGGCCGGAAGTGCTGTCGCTCGGCTCAGAGAGCACAGCCCGTGTCTCCGGCTGCACAGGGCTCGGCTGGCCGTCGGCTCCTGGGCAGTCGTCCGTGCTCCGCTCATCACACTCGCTGTGGCTGGCGCTGTCCTCGGGGCCGGGAGGGAGCAGCCAGCGATGCCCGGCCTTCGGGAGCTCAGTGCCCGGTGTTAAACAGTGGAGGGTGTTAAACACTCACTGAACCTGGAAACCTGCATGCGGGCGTCGAGCTGCGAGGCTGGGACAGGAGCTGAGCTCCTGGGGGCAGGGACGTGTGTCTTCAGGGCGTGCCGGTCAGGACACACGGAAAGAGCGTGAGCACCGCTCCGCTTCTCTGCAGCCTCGGGCGTCGGGGGTGCCCGGGTGGCTGCGGGCCAGGGCGGTCAGGCAGGCGCCCTGGTGTGCCATCCCGTGCGCACAGCATCCTGGGTAAGGTTCGCGATCGCACCTGCCCCTCCAGAGGGTGCTGGCAGGAAAGTCCCAGGGCCCGCGACGTGTCCTGAGAACGGCTGTCACCGTGCTCCTTGGCCCGAGCCTGGCTGCAGCGGGCAGTGGCGTGGTGACGGCTCCTGGTCAGGATGGGGTGCCCGAGAGCTGGAGTCTGACTCGGGGGCTTCAGGGGCTTCAGACTGTAAGCAGTTTGTTCGCTTATCTATTTTCAGATTCTCAAGAATGGTATCTGATGAAAACTGATGTTTTAAGTATATAAGGGCCCCGCTGGTGTGGCTCAGTGGTTGAGCGTCGACCCTGCACCAAGAGGTCGCCGGTTCAATTCCTGGTCAGCGCACATGGGCCAATGAGGGTGTCTATCTTTCTCTTCCTCTCCCTTCCTCTCTCTCTAAAAGCAAATTAAAACATTTTTAATAAAAGGGCTTTTTAACAGAACCTCTTGGTCAGGGCAAGTTGAGCGTGCGGGACGCAGAGCCGTCCCTGCGTGTCCGCCCCCAGGCCCCCGCGTCGTCAGCACGGTGCTCGTTCTGTGTCCTCAGGGTCACCGCTTCCTCCAGGCTTCGCAGCAAGTCCCAGACGTGGTCGTTTCGCCCGTAAATATTTTAGTATGTGTCTCTAAAAGATAAGATTTAAAAGTGTTTTTTAGTAAGTGTAAAAGATTTATGTCCGCCTGGCTGGTGTGGCTCAGTGGTTGAGCACCGACCCATGGACCAGGAGGTCACTGGTTCGATTCCTGGTCAGGGCGCAGGCCCAGGCTGTGGGCCAGATCCTCGGGGGGGGCGTGCAGGAGGCGGCCAGTTGATGTTCTCTCATCGGTGTTTCTCTCTCTCCCTTGCCCTTCCTGTCTCTCACAATCAGTAAAGAAAAAGAAAGCTGTGTACAACTGAAAACTGGAGAAAGCATTTGTAGCACGTGTCAGAGATAAAACATTAACACCCCTAGTATATAAAGAATCTCAAACTTAGGGGCAGGGGCCCTTCCTCATCATTTTTCCCTCTTTCTCTCCCATCAATCCTGAGCAATTCAGACCTAAATTCTTTAGGTGGGAAGAATCCACGTAGGCATCCGTGGTAGCAGGCGGGAGCAGAAGGGCCCGAGCAGGCAGGTGTGGGCAGAACGGGGGCCGTCCCGGCAGGTCGGGGCAGCAGGGAGCAGAGAGCAGGCGGCAGGGGCGGAGAACGCTCCCCTGCGCCTGCTGATAACACAGGAAATTCCTGCGGTGACAAGAGACCAGCATTCCCCCTGCTGAAGGAGTGATGGGTACGGAAGAGAGAATGTCTGTTAGGTTGGAGTTGGGAATGCTGCTGAGCACTGTTCACATGGACAGACAGACGTGCAGGGGATGTGGATGAAAGGGGTGTGTGTCTACACGTGCCTGTGTGCATTGACGTGGTCCCCGCTCTGTGCCCTGGGAGCGCTCCTGTCCACCGAGAGAAGCCAGGCTCCCTGAAGAACTGGCAGGTTTCAGAGCCGGGACAGGAGCAATGTCTCAACCCTGAAAAGCAGGGATGTGCCCATAGACTGATAGGGACATGTTATTTGGGGCAGTTTGGTCATTAAAAGGAGTGATGACGGTGACGCATGATTGCCCACCAACAGAACAGCTGAGCGAGTGTGTGCTCGCACTGCGCGGACGATGGGGCTGGCTTAGCCACACCGCACGAAGGAGCAGGGGCTTCACACGAAGAAGCGGGCGGCACCCTCTGGTCAGGTGACCGAGTGACGCGTGCGGGGATGCGTGTCACTGCGTTGTCCCAGACACCCGCGGGAGGGCCGTCCTGCAGAAGCTCCGCTCCAGTCTCCAGCGGGGTCAGGACTGGGAGTCAGGGAAGCACAGAGACAAGGCAGTAAGTGCAGCCTGTGACCCTAAGCTGAGTTCTTGTGCGTTACTAAAAACATTTGGGTACACTTCCAATTTTGGTGTTTGTGTAGTGACGATGATGAGGAGGTCTTGTGGGAAACACACTGAATACTCAGGAGTAGGAGCAGGTCAGCACCTCTCTCGGAAATGGTTTAGGGAAATCGGTTCTTTGTGCCAAGTTTGCAGCTTTTGTCTAAGTTTGTGGTTGATTCAAAGTTTAAAAAGAGAGAAAGGCAAAGGGAAAATGTCTGGTAGGAAATGAGCAGAGGACATGAATAGATAGTTTATTTACAAAGAAGTTAAAATGGTCCTTAAACATAAAGATATTTTAATATCACTTGTAATTAGAGAAGCACTGATTAGAAAAACACCAACATGACTTCACCTCTGTCATGAGAAATCCACGGCTGAGTGAACAGACGGGCGAGTCCTCCCCCCAAGTGCCCTCTGACAGAGGCCCCCTGGGACCTGCTGGCCTCGAGCGGGGGCAGGGATCGTGCAAGCTGAGCCCATCCAGAACATCTGGTTCTGACAGAAAATAAGGACGTGGCCCTGAGAAATGACGGGATGTGTCAGGGCACAGAAGCCAACTTGAAACTCAGACTGTTTGAGCAAGAAAATAAATGGCAATAACGGGTCATAACTCAGAGTTCGATGAGTCATCAGTAAATAAATGGAGACAGAAAAGCATTTTCTTAAAGTGCCAGCTAATGTATGCAGATGAATTGATGGGGTTAGAAAAATCATCCTTTGGGAAATGGTTTTAGGTGGGAATCTTGAATGTTTGATCAACGAGAGGGCAAAATCGTGCTAGGAAATGGGGTGTTAGGCTCCAAGTAGCTCCCCACACGGGATCTAATGACGTCGCGGGGGGAGTCATTGACAGCTGCTGGGGAGCACATCCTCGCAGGCGTCGGGGCTAGCACACTGACGTGGCAGACCACTGCCCTGCGCCGAGAAGGGTGCACTGTGAAGAGCACACCCTCACGTCTGTGGCTTCCTGCCCGAACCGTGCAGCCTGTCTCAGCACGGCCTGCGTCAGGCAGACCCAGCGAAGGGCGTCTGCCTGGCTTCTTCAAACTGTCAAGGTCAAGGAAGGCTGAGGAATTCTTCCCCAGTCAAGGCTGAGACATGACGACACCCTGGATCAGAAAACATGTAGGATTTCTTCTGCCATGAGGGGTGCAGCTGGGGCAAGGAATGAAATCAGAAAATGGGGTGTATGCAGCACCAAGAAGTGGGGTGTTTGGTTTTCCCAATTGTACTTGGCTGTAGGAGAACATTCTTGTTTCGGGGAATGGCACTCAAGTCTTCAGTGGTATAGGTGCATCACAGCCACGAGCTGCCTTCAAGCATTAGGGGAACAATGCAGTGTATCATGTTCACATAAGTGCACAAACACAGTGATTTAGCCAATGGGAAATGGTAACATCTTGGTAAACAGGATGCAAGGTACACAGAATTTTAAGTCTGAAATTATTTTAAAATGAACTGTTTTGTAAAAGTTTAAAGAAAGATTTGTGATTTTGCAAAAGCCTTCAGCTTTGGTTTACTTTTTTCCTCAGTCACATGCTGTCCTGTTCAGTAAACACAGTGTACAGTGCTTCATGGAATGTAGAGTACAATGTTATGCTGTTAGGAACTGGTTATGTCTTATGTTTGTATCTTCCATCTAGTTTTGTAGCCTGGGATCGGGTACTTAGCAGGTCTAACCCTGTTTCCTCGGGTGATGAGCGGTGCGTGCGTGGGGGGTGGGAGGTGAGAGGACACATCTCAATCTGCAGCTGGGCCGGACCTGGTGTGTGTTGGGTGCATTGATCTTGTTAAAACGCTGTGTTCGTAGAAAAGTGTTAGTCTTAAGCCCTAGGCGGTTTGGCTCAGCGGTTAGAGCGTCAGCCTGTTTTCCAGAGAGACCGAAGTTCAGTTCCCGCTAAGGGCATGTGCTTCGGTTGCAGTTTGTCCCCGGCCCTGGTTGGGTCTTGCCGGTGGCAGCCACTCGGTGTGTCCCTGTCACATCGATGTTTCTCTCTTCCTCTCTCTCCCTCCCACTCTATCTGAATAAAAATATGGAAAAATGTCTTCAGGTGAGGATAAAAAAAAAAAGAAAAACAAAACAAAACGCTGTATTCGTAGAAAAGTGTTAGTCTTAAGCCCTGGCTGGCTTGGCTCAGCAGTTAGCGCCTCAACCCGAGGACCAAAGAGTCGCAGGTCCGATCCCAGTCAAGGGCACGTACCTCGGTTGCGGTGCGTCCCTGGCCCGGATCGGGGTCATGCGGGAGGCAGCCAGTCGATGTCTCTCTCACATGGATGTTTCTCTCTCTGTCCTTTTCTCTTCCTCTCTCTCCCTCCCAATCTATCTGAAGATAAATAGAAAAATATACTCAGATGAGGATTAAAAAAGTGTTAGTCTTAAAATACGCATTTACCTAAAGTATTTGGGTGTGCACTGCTCTGGTGCCTCCCATATCGACATGGTGTCCTGGAGAGGAGCGCGCCGCTGTGGTTCGTGGGCGCTGATTGGGGTCTCGTGGCTGACGGCCTTCAATTGGCTACATTGTCATTGAGCCAGAAACTGTGAATGTGGGTTGTGTACCACTTTCCTTGTTTCAGACCACAGGGTGTGCAAGGTGTGGTATTTGAGCTGTTCTGATGCTGGATAGTTCCAGAAGGTCGAATTCTGTCTTAGATTTGCTGCAAGAAAGAAGCACAGCCCGGCCAGTGTGGCTCAGTGGTTGAGTGTCGTCCTGTGCACCAGGAGGTCATGGTTCAATTCCTGGTCAGGGCACGTGCCCGGGTTTCGGGTTTGGTCCCCAATAGGGGGCATGCAAGAGCAGCCAATCGAAGTTGCTCTCTCATCGATGTTTCTATCTCTGCCTCTTCCTCCTTCTCTCTGAAATCAGTGACAACATTAAGAAAGAAAAGCATAATTTTTACATAAATCTCAAAAAAAGACAACTGACTTTGAGAGGATTTTAAGAATATACCTTGTGTGTCTGTTTGTTTTTGGCCAGGAAAAGGAGCCTCTCCGCGTCATACCACTGAAGGAGGTGCACAAGGTCCAGGAGTGCAAGCAGAGGTGAGCACCAACTCTGACCAGTGTGTGTGTGCGCGCCGGTGCGGCCCGTGTGTGCGTGTGTGTGCGCGCGCCTGTCAGTGCGGCCCATGCGTGCGTGCGTGTGCATGTGCGGCCCGTGCGTGTGTGTGTGCGTGCACCTGTCAGTGTGGCCCGTGAGTGCGTGTGTGTGTGCATGAGCAGCCTGCGCATGTGTGCACCTGTTGGTGCGGCCCGCGTGTGTGCGTGCACACGCGCGCCAGTGTGTGTGTGTGTGTGCGCGCACGCGCGCCTGTGGGTGTGGCCCGCGTGTGTGTGTGAGCGCGCATGCCGGTGTGGCCCGTGTGTGTGTTTGTGAGTGTGTGTGTGCGCCTGTCAGTGCAGCTTGTGCGTGCGTGTGTGCGTGCATGTGCAGCCCGTGTGTGTGTGTGTGTGTCAGTCGGTGTGGCCCGTGCGTGCATGTGCGGCTTGTGTGTGTGTGTGCATGTGCAGCCCGTGTGTGCGTGTGTGCCTGTCGGTGTGGCCCACACGTGTGTGTGCGCGCGCGCCGGTGCGGCCCGTGTATTGTGTGTGTGTGTGTGTGCCTGTCGGTGCAGCCCGTGCGTTTGTGTGCATGTGCAGCTCGTGTGTGTGTGTGTGTGTGCGCCTGTCGGTGCGGCCCGTGTGCTTGAGTAGGGCGTTATTGCTCTGTATTCTACTCTTACTTTTAACCTCTGATGGTCGGGGATATGCTGAAACTTTAAATCCCTTACATTAAAGTATTGAGATTTTGCCCGGCCAGTGTGGGCCAGTGGATGGAGTGTCATTCCATGGACTGAGAGGTCCTGGTTCGATTCCTGGTCAGGGCACATGCCTGGGTTGTGGGCTCGATTCCCAGTGGGGGGCGTGCAGGAGGCAGCTGATCAATGTTTCTCTCTCTCTCTAAAAAAAAAATCAATTAAAAAATATTTGAAATAAATAAAGTATTGAGTTTTTTTGTTTGAAAGCTAAAAATTAGGAAACAATTCTTACAGTTACTAATGGAGAGAAAAACTTTTTTTTATCCTCACCCGAGAACATTTTTTTATTTTTTTCTCAGATAGAGTGGGAGGGAGGGAGAGGAAGAGAGAGAGAGAGAGAAACATTGATGTGAAAGGGACACATTGACTGGTTGCCACCTGCACAACCCAGCCAGGGCCAGGGACAAACGGCAACCGAGGTACGCGCCCTTAGCGGGAACCAAACCCGGGTCTCTCTGGACCACAGGCCGACGCTCTAACCGCTGAGCCAAACTGGCCAGCTCGTGAGAAAAACTTTAACATGAACAGCTGTCCTGTTGAACAGATTGTGTATAGTCTCAGCATTTCGAGGTTGGTGCAGACGAGGGCTCTGAGAGCATGTGGTAACTGCAGTGTTCCTCTGAGCAGACTGATTTCTTTTTAAAAACTTTGACTTTTAGAGTAGTTTTATCTACCTTGTCTAACATGTACATATAACTATGTAAAACTCAACGCAAAAATAAGTTGACAAAGTTGATAACTTGGTTTTGTTAAATCAGTATTTTACCTCTAATATTTACTCTTACTGATGCATGTTTGTTATGGGTGCATAAGTGAAAACAAACTTTCAAACAACTGCTGTGTAAGTAACTTGGACATTTTTTGTTAACAGTGATATAATGATGAGGGACAATCTCTTTGAAATTGTGACATCGTCTCGGACTTTCTATGTGCAGGTGGGTGGTACTTTGGAGATGGTAGGTCCTCTTCATGGGGAATTAATAATGTTAGAGGTGAAGTAAACTGGTAGCTTACGAAAATAAGCAAAAAATAAGACAACTGTAATTCAAAAAGTGTTCTATCTAAGGTTATTGGTAGGTTCGTATGTTCAGCAAATAAAGCTATTTGTTACCATGAGTTAGTCGAATAGAATTAGGTTATATTTGGGGGGAAAGGGGGGTGCTACTCTAACTTAAAGGCTCAGGATGTGGCCCGGCCGGTGTGGCTCCGTGGTTGAGCGTCGACCCATGCACCAAGAGGTCGCTGGTTCGATTTCTGGTCAAGACGTGCCCAGGTTGTGGGCCCGATCCCCAGTCGGGGGCATGCAGGAGGTGGCCAATCAATGCTCTCTCTCATCAATGTTTCTGTCTCTTTCTCTCTCTAACATCAATAAAGAAAAAATAATTTGTAATTAAATAAAATAAAGGCTAAGGATATATTTTCAACTTGGATTAGTTTTGCACATATTTTGGGTTTTTGATTATATCATTTTTGTGGTTTATAAAAGGGCTCATCAGCCCATAACAAAAGCAGACAGTAGAGTCTCACTGAGGGTGGGTCGGCATCCTGTGTTTAAGTCTTAAACTGCTTTTACTGACCACATTAATTAAGTTAGAATTGTTTTTAAAAGAACGATTGTTTTTGCTTCATGAAACTGACATGCTCATGGCGGAGATTTATAGGGAAATGGGAAGAGAAGGGCTGACGGCTCCGACCGCTGAGCCAGACCCCAGGCAGGCCCTTCGTCTGCATCGCGGGAAGTCGTGCGATCGTGAGGGTCCGCAGGCGGACCGCGCCCTGCTCGCTCCGCGCAGCTTCCTGACGTTCGTTCGCTGTGAGAGACACTGGGGAACGTTTCTACATCTGCCTGAAGTTTTCCTTCAGGATGTTTCTCGATCGGGAGTAACTGTTAGACCATGAACTTCCTTAAACCTCTTTATTTTGCCAAATTGATTTCTAGACATGTCCTCCTCTTTGCAGTAAATGAAGAAGGTATATGCTTTATTTTTGCCTTAGAATTTTTAAAAAGTATTTGTGTTCAAAAGTATTATCTTGTATCTTTAAAATTTTGGAATCTGGATTCCAGAATCTAGTAGTTGAGGGCAGTGTGTCTGCACCCCTCTGAGGGCCTGTTTACCTGGATCAAAGTCACAGTAAGGTTTGTGGTTCACATCGGAAGCCAAGGTCCTGCCGGGGAGCGGGCTCTGGACTGTGCCCCATGCTTCCTTGAGGATTATGGTGCTATAGAAGTTGTTTCTCCACAAGTAACGTTTCTCCACAAGCAAAGCCTGCTTTGAAGCCATTTCTAGAAGGTTTTGAAATTGTTGCCTTGCAATGATTTTGCTGTTGACACTATTTATCACCAGAGGGTACACATTGGGTTTGTAGATGCAGGTGATGGTGTTGGGAGACTGACTGACGAGGCTTCCTTCCCGCAGGCGGACAGCCCCGAGGACATGCACAGCTGGATCCGAGCCGTCTCCGGTGCCATCGTCGCCCAGCGGGGGCCCGGCCGGTCAGCCTCCGCTGTAGGTCCCCCTTCTTGCGAGGTGCTCACTTGGGTTCCCCATCCTGTCAGGTTATTTCCTCCTCTCCTGACCCCTCTGGTTCCTTCTGCATCGAGAATTATTTGCATGGTGACTTTCCCACCAGTGCGACTTGCAAACAGACGACGCATCTCTGACATAATGCTACCTCGTGTCGTGTGCACGTGACTTTCTCTGCGCTGGGTCGTCTGGATGCACCATCAGGCAGCTGCACACAGGCGTCTGTCTCCCTGCTTCGTCTCAGCGGTTCTTAGCTGTCGGGAGGCCATGGGCTCTGGCCAGACCCGTTCTCCGGGCGGAGCCTGGCCTGCCGAGAAAGGAGCACCTTCCGCTTCAGCGGCTGGTGACCAGCCCCGTCCTCTGCTTCCTGCCCCTCAGTTCAGGCCCTTTGGCTGGACTGTGCCGCAAGGCGGTCTCATTCTCGTACGTTCATTTAAAGGCCACTGTCGCCTACAGCTTTCATCTTCTTGGTGGTAGTGAGACAGTCAGATTGAAGCAGTTAGACTTTCTCAGAAATAGGAAAAGGTTTTAATTCCTAATTGACCATGTTCAGGTGCATTGCAGGAGTGAGATTTGCCTTCAAAGCACTTTGGTCACTGGTCTCTGTGAAAGCACAAGTTCTAAGGAATGAAAACGAGTCTCGAAATACCGCACTTTGGTCTGCGAGTGTAGGCGGTGTGGCCTCATTGCCTAGAGTCCTCGTAGAGCCTGGATGTTCTGTGCTTCAGTATCTTCCTGGTGGTAACATTGTCTTAATGTTTCCTGCTGCTCGTAACTGCAGATCAGTATACAGATCCGTCTTGTGCCTTACGAGTCCTTCTCCTTACGTCCTGTTGGGGTCTCAGCCTCCTTTCCTGGTGTTAACTCAGTAACCGCCTGTGTTTCACGTGACCAGTCGGGTGTGAGACTGTCTGCAAAACACTGTGTTGGGAGCGGGGGCGTCGGAGAAGGGCCTGTGTCCTGCGCGCTGTGCTTGTGGTGGTCCCGGTGGACTGTCCAGCTGTGACTCGCAGCCTCTCAGCACCCTTTCTCCTCCCTCCCCCGTCGGTGACTCTAATCTTAGCTTTGCACTGTGTTCCAGATGCGGCAGGCCAGAAGGCTGTCGAACCCTTGCATACAGAGGTGTGCGCCCCGGACTGGTGGATGCGGCGCGTACGTGGCTCTCACGCAGACGTGCCTTCTCCCAGAGGGCCCGGCTCACCCCACTTACACCCCCGGAACGTGGCCTTGCCCAGACTGTGTGCGCTGCCGTAGCTGCGGGCACTAACGGGCTGCCCCACGCCGTCTCCGGTCGGAGACGGAGCTAGAAAATGATAATGAAAAATAGCACTTTACTAACTGAAAAAGTCCTGTTGAGCTGTCTTCTAAAAGGCAAATGACGGGATTGCACAAGTTCCCGTTTCTGTAGCTCACGCACCTGACCTTTTACACCCCCCACCTGACGTGCCCTGTCTAACCCCAGACTCCTGCATGCAGTGCTGGGCGAGCCCGCTGTGGCCGCGGGACGCTTGGCCCTCGGTGAGGCGTAGCCCCCTGGGGCCTGTCGTGCTGCCCCTCCGTGCGCCATTTCCAAGCCGCTGTGTCGTCAGTGAGCACTGCTCAGAACTACATGTGACGCATTGGAACGGTCATATTTAAAGATTTATTACGATTTGACATAGTTAGAAGCATATTGAAAGTGACATCATGACTGATCACTGTTTCATCACAGTTCTCATAAATGATTAAATGTGTAACCTGTCACTTTATAATCTCAAGCCATATGCATGTATGACATTCAAAACTAAACATGCAATTCAAAAAACAATGGAGAGACTGCTAGTGGTCGCAGTGAAACTCAGGGCGCGCACGACACGTAGTTCCTGGTGTTGGTTAAAAACGTGTTTTTGGACGGAGCTGTAGAGCTGGCCGCCCCGGCAGCACAGCTCAGGTGCACTGGACACGGTCCATCCGCTGACTGCCCCCACGCCGGCTCGGTGACGGCTGGCTCCTTCGTGGAGGTGGCCGTGGCCGCCTCGCTCTAACTCACTCTGAACACGCATCGCTCGGGGGGCTTGCTTGCTGCATGGCTCACGCTTCTCTGCTCGGCGCTGTGTGTTTCAGGGTGCAATCTCACTGAGGTACTAACCCGCGGTGTCGCGGGCCGTGTCTGACCGCACCCTCTTTGCAGGAGCATCCCGCCGGCCCCGAGCCCCAGTCCGTGCTCCGCCCTGCCGGCGCCCCGCATCCCGCAGCCGCTCGCAGCCGCTCTCTGGTCTCCAGCCTCACCGTGGAGAAGCGAGGATTTTACGAATCTCTTGCCAAGGTCAAGCCAGGGAGCTTCCAGGTGCAGACTGTCTCTCCAAGAGAACCAGCTTCCAAAGTGACTGGCCGAGCGCTGCTCAGCCCTCCGGAGCCAGACAGCGGCCCCGTGGACTTGGACGACGCGAGCCTGCCGGTCAGTGACGTGTGACACGGAGGCCTGGGACGCCCCCGCCACTCAGCCCCTCAATTTCCTCTCCTGAGGCTCCAGCCAAAGATGACAAAGGGTGAAATGGCTTCACGGCCCGTGTCCTATGCCTCGTCGACGTCCTCTTCGTGCTGGTGAACCGAGGGTCTGGGGAGGGGCCGCACCAAAGGGATCTCTTCAAAGAAGGAGGAAGGGAGACGCCACGTGGCTCCGTGTTGCATCCGAGCGCTGTGTCCTCATCTAGTGATGGGCACGGGGTGTGGTGTCTTTTCCTCGTGCATTTGACCATTGAAATGCTCATCAATTTAAAACATTGAAAATGCTTATTAATTATCTTGGTTGTTTTTAAAATGCTACTATGACTTCCTGTTAGATGGTTGCTATTTACCCTCTCTTACCGGTGAACGTGATAGAATGAAATGCCGCCAGACTGCGCTCACATCGTGCTGTCCGGTGCTGGGGGACTCAGCACAAGGCGTGTGCCGGGGTGACCACCTGGTGCCTGGGCCTCGAGGTGGCGCTGAGCTTTCATAAAGGATGCTGTTGGACCGTACGAGGGCTGTGGGTCGTCCTAGGGTGAGAAGTGGGGAGGAGACTGGAAACAGCTGTATCGCAGACACTTGTTTGGGGAAGGTAACGAGGGCTTGCAGTTGTCCGCTTTACTCGGTGAGGGTTATTTGGTGTGACGTTTCTGGGAGACCCGATTTTTTTATGGAAGTTTTGTACAAAGTTTTTATTTCTGTCCTTGGGTCAGTGAGAGACTCCGAGTTTATTTGCAGAGACACCTGCCCCAGGCACGAGATGTGGCTCTAACAACCCGTTCAAGTGCCTGTGTTTTCATCCCGCGCGTGCTCAGACGTCCTCTGTGGTTGGCTGTAAGCACTGGGGTGGAGGTAGATTTCCATGGCACAGCTGAATGTGTTAGATGAGGTATCGTTCTCTGTTGAGATGCAGGATGCTGGTGGTGTACGGCCTGTGCAGCAGTGTGTTTTCAGACATGAATCCGTGTGCACGGAACACGGGCTGCACAGGCACAGGCACCGCGCAGAGTCCTTGGCTGGAGGTGCGGCTGGGAGACTGGTTTGGGCGGGACCAGCTTTGCGGTTCAGTCTTGAACTTTTGCTTTAAGAAGATAGTCTTGAATCTCATGTGCTGCTATTTTTATGATGTTTTGCCATTTTATAGTATTGTTTTGTTTTGAGTTCATACCTGTCCTGTTTCTCCCTTTCATTGTCTAAGATGAGTTCTCGTCTGAGGACGACTTTCTCTCCTGCTGCAGCTGTGAGGTCCAGAGGTTCCTGTCTGTCACAGTACAGTTGCCATGGCGGCGGTGTGATGCACAAATGCACAGAGAACGCACCACTCCACCTTTCATTCATAAGCTAATGTTTTTAAAGTTATACTTGGAGTTTTCCTTTTTTGCAGCTACACTTGGAAAAGATAGAATGACAAGGTTTTAGGATCTGTCCCTTTTCTGTGCGTGGTCGTGGCTCTTTGAGTCCGTGCACACCAAGGAAGTCTTGGCGGACGGTCTGTGACGCTCAGGAGCCCGAGGCTGCTCTCTCTGCTGACCCTGCAGGGCGCGTCTGACCTGTCCTGTTTGGTGACGCTATAGCTGCATAGTGCGAAGGACTGTCTCCATTTCGAGACTTTTATGGAACTGCCTTTGTATTCTCTAGCATAGGACAACGTTCTTGTGATTTCTGGGGTCTTCTGGTATTTATCTCAATACTTTTATAATCCTATGAAAATTATTTAATTATTTTAAAACGTATACTTTTCTTGTAAATATGTCACATCTGAATTGTCAGAAATTTGAAAACCTTAATGTTTGCTGCGTTTTTTTTCTGTACATATAACATGCCTTCTTTCAGAATGGGATACACGCGTGCTTCCCAGTGTTTACTTTTACATGTCACCTTTCTATGTCCGGGTGAACACTGTACTGACTCGAGAATAAACTCAAAATTCATCCCAGCGTGTTTCTTACTTGGTCCATCTGTGTTCTCATGCGAACAGGTAAACAGCTGGTGCAGGTGTGTTTTGGTCAGTTGACTTGAGTTCATATACTTAAGGACAGATTCCTTGGTAACCTTTGAAAGACATAGCTTGACATGAAATTGCACAAGGAAAAAACGAATCTATCCCAGGCCGGTTTGGCTCAGTGGTTAGAGCGTCAGCCCGCAGACCAGAGAGTCCCGGGTTTGATTCCCGCTAAGGGCACGTACCTCCGCTGCAGTTTGTCCCCGACCCTGGTTGGGGTTGTGTGGGTGGCAGCCAGTCTTTGTGTCTCTCATATCAATGTTTCTCTCTCTCTCTTCCTCTCTCCCTCCCGCTCTATCTGAAGATAAAGCAAAAATGTCCCCGGGTGAGGATAAAAACAAAACAAAACTTGAATCTATGTGGGAAAAAAGCTTGCTTATTTTGCTGAAGTAAAACATGTTCTCAAAAGCAAAGTTGCACGTGTTGGCTTCAGAGCTGGTTTGAATGGCCGCTTGCCGGGCGGGGTTGGTGGTTGTGCTGACGAGGCAGGGGCTGAGTGCAGACGGCGGGGGTCCCCAGTGGCTGCTGACAGGCACTCACGACACCCCGCCCAGTGCCAGAGGCTGAGCTGGAAACCCGCTGTCTGCCCGGCAGTCCCGTCTGCTGTGGACACGGCCTCTGCCAACGCCCCTCTGTGTTGATGATTTTATTAACTGATGCAACCCGAGAAAAGTATTTTACATGTTTTTATTTTTTTAAAAATGAGAAAGTGCTGCCCAGGCCGGTGTGGCTCTGCTGAGCATCATCCAGTACACCGAAAGGTCACCGGTTCGGTTCCCCCTCAGGGTACATGCCCAGGGTGCAGGTTTGATCCCCAGTAGGGGTGCATACGGGAGGCAGCCGATGGGGGTTTCTTGCTCCCATCATTGTTTCTCTCTCCCCCTTCCTCCCTTCCTCTCTAAAAAAAAATCAATAAAAACATTTTTTAAAAAACGAGAAAGTTCTGAACTTTGTTGCTTTTATGAAAAAGAGATGCTTTCCCCAGCGTTTCTTGAACTTCTGGTCGCCGCTCAGGAGCGCCCCTGCGTGGCGCGCGGACCCCTGCCAGTGCCGCGGGCGGGAAGCGCGTGAATCAGCGACGTCGCGGCCGAGCCAGGTGGTGGGACTCTGTCTGCGAAGGGCCACCAGCCCACGCAGGGCTCGACGGCACACGCCTGCCGCGTGCTGCTTGCTGTGCCGGCAGATCTGCACGGTCCTTTGTAACGATTTTTGAAACTGTATTTTCCCCGACGCCTCACATGGGACACGTATCGCAAGTGTTGCTGAAGTGGGTTAGCCGTTAGTTTTGTTTGATGAAACAAACCTAGGATCCGTCATAATGACCCATTTAGAGAGAAGGGTGCCCTTAGGCATGTGTTGATGGCGCCACCTTCTGGTTGTGTGGTTGCTCAGTGTAAAATAAGACCATTTGGCCAGGCTGGTGTGGCTCAGTGGTTGAGACCCAGGCACCAGAGGTCACCGGTTCAGTTCCTGGTCAGGGCACATGCCCAGGCTGTGGGCCAGTCCCCAGTGGGGGGCGTGCAGGAGGCGGCCAGTCGATGTTTCTATCTCCCTTTCCCTCCCTCTCTCTCTAAAATCAGTAAAGAAAAATTATTTTTTAAAAATAGAAGAAAAATTTAAAAAAGACAATTTGGAGCCTTTCATTTTATCATACTCAGAAGATTAGAGACGATATGCAAATGACCTCTTTAATCCGGCTCTTTTGGGAGATAATTGCAGATTCAATTCAACAGTGACCCCTGAGCTCCGTAGTCAGTTTTCCCAATGATAACATTGAAAACCTGTAGTAAAATAACCAGGACGTTGACACTGACCCCATCAGGACACCGAGCAGTTCCGTCATCACACGGACGCCTGCCTTTTTTTTTTTTTTTTAAATCCTTACCTGAGGATGTTTTTCCATTCATCTTCAGACAGAGTGGGAGGGAGAGAGAAACACTGATGTGAGAGACACATTGATTGGTTGCTTCCCGCATGACCCCAACCAGGGCTGGGGACCGAACCACAACCAAGGCACGTGCCCTTGACCGGAATCGAACCCGCGGCTCACTGGTCTGCGGGCCGACGCTCTACCACTGAGCAAAACCCTGCAGAACCCACTGCCTTTCATCCTCCCTCCCACCTCTCTGCTCTGTAGGCTTGGAAATGAACTTGTCACTGGCCCCAATCTCGTTAGGTTTAAAACCCTGGTTTTGCTCCCAGAGTTTGGGCTCTGACCGTTGTGTCGCCGCCTCTGGGACGTCTTGAAAACAGCTCTGCGTGGGTACTGCGCTGACTCCGGGCACTAACGAGCGGCGTCCTCTGGGGCATCGGTGTGGCGGTGTCCAGAACGGCATCTGTTTCAGACGATCATTTCTTTCTGTATACATTTAAACTTAATGTTTGAGAATCAGTAACAGAAACGTTGTGGTCAGAACCTCCCTGAGAGGTGTCGGCTCTGTCATGGCACAAGTGGGTAAGGTCACCGAGGGAAGGGCTCAAAGAAAATGGCTTCAGGGGCCTGATTCCTGCCTTGGGGACGTTGTGGGGGCTGGTTCTGGGCACCCGCGGAGGGTGAGGGTGACATGTCCCTGTAAGGAAGCTTTGACCTGATGATGTCTCAGGTCAAGTGGGCCGCTCCCGGGCACACGCGGCACCCAGGAGCCTGAGAAGGTGGCGAGGACCCGGCAGGAACGCGCCAGGCCGTGGCGTGGGGAAGGGCGGCGGCGTGGATCCTGCACCCAGGACCTCCGTGTCTGCGAGGCCGAGAGGGGCCCGGGGCCCAGGCGCCTCCGCAGGTCCCGGGAGACAAACACTCCTAAGGAAACAAACTCACACAGTACATTTAGACTTTGAAGGGTCCAGGTTGTCACCTAGAAATTCAAATTGTTCCCTCAGTGGTTCATGCTTCTTACACGAGTCACACTTTTTTTTGGCAGCGTGTACGGGGTGTCCAGGCCTTTCCATGATTCAGGAACGTAGTCCCCCAAGGCTGTTTCTGCCCGGCTTTATACCTTCACCTGGGAACCTGGTCTGTTCCCTGTGGCACCTGACTTGCCATTGTTTCCAAACGGGGGCCTTTGGTTCCAGGGACACCTGTTCCTCTGTGACCCTCCTGTGCGTCCCGCTCACTGCTTTGGCCCGTGGTCACACACCCTCTTCCTCCTCCTGCCTCTATGCTTGAAGGTGGAAGTCGTGGCGTTGTGGTGATGGGGTGACCAAACTGCAGAAGGACGGATGTCGGAGGTGGGGAGAGGGGAGGGAACCGCGTCCTTGCACAGGTGAGCTGAGCCGGGATCCAGAGCCCAAGCAGGGGGCTCGGCCTTGGACAGGAGCACGGACCTTCGCCTGCCGCGGGTGCGGGGCCGGCAGCGTGGGCACTTGGGAGGGAAGGGGTCTCTGCAGATCTCATCGCCTCAGGCTCAGCAAGTCGGGGGACAGTCCTCAGCTGTGCTGGGATGGCAGGGACGGATCAGAAGTTCCTGGAGTAGAGCAGAAGGTGTGAAATTGTTGAGGGTCGTGGAGAAGAAACAGATCAGGGAACTGTGACCTGGGCAACACCGGGGGCCTACTCGAGTTCCCGCCCTGAGTGGAAAGACCTAGTGGGTCTCATGAAGCATGGTGCTGGCCTTGTGGCTGAAACAGAAATACTTTCAGATTAAGGAAGTTTCCAACTATTCATATTTTATTGAGTGTGGTTTTTTTTCTTAATGAAAAATGGTGGCTGAATTTTGTCCGATGTCTGAGTATCTGAGAAAATCTTTCCCTCCTTAGATTAATTTGGTGAATAATATTACTCTACTTTCTAATATTTAACGATCATTCCATTTCTGGAATAAATACCACTTGCTCAAGTTGTATTGTTTTTTTATTTTTTAAAAATATGTTTTTGTTGGGAATCAGTGGGGGGGAAAGGAGAAACATCTGTAAGAAAAATAAATTAATTAAATTAAAAAAAAATAAAAAATAAATAAAAATGGTGTTGGGAAAACTGGAATTCCACGTCTAAAAGAATGAAGTTTGGTCCTTACCTTAGACCACACATAAAAATGAACTCTAAGTGCCCACTCGGTGTGGCTCAGTGGATTGAGCATCACCCCAGGGACTGAGAGGCCCCAGTTCAATTCCCAGTCAGGGCACATGCCTGGGTTTCAGGCTCGATCCCCAGAAGGGGACGTACAGGAGGCAGCTGATCAGTGTTTCTCTATCACATCCATGTTTTTATCTCTCTCTCTTTTGCTCCAAAAAATCAATGAAAACATATTTTGGGGCAAGCAGGATGGGAATGGGAGCGTGGAAGAGGGGGTCAATAAAGGGGGGGCATTTGTAATACTTTCAACAATAAAGATTTTAAAAAGATTTAAAAAATAAATAAAAATATGTTTTTGTTGATTTTCAGAGAGAGAGAAACATCGATGGGCTGCCTCCTGCACGGCCCCTACTGGGGCTCAAGCCCGCAGCCGGGCACACGTCCCGACCAGGAGTCGAACTGGCGACCTCTCGGTACGTGGGTCAGCGCTCAGCCACTGAGCCCCAGCGGCTCAGCACGTTCTTTTTTAAATGCTGCTTGATTCTGTTTGCTGTGATTTTATTTGGGATTTTTGCATAAATGTGATAATAGCCTGTATTTTTCTTTTCTGTGGGTTCCAGTCTATAGATTTTGTGGTATTATACTAGTTTCATTGGGGGGACTTGGAAAACTTTTTTCGTTCAAGCTGTTCTGTCCCTCGCTCCCTTCCCCTGAACCTGAATGTCAGCGGGAAAGATCGTGGGTGAGGATTAACAACAGACAAAACAGCCGCCTCCCTCCACTGCGGTCCCTTCAAGAGCCCCCACCTTCAACACTTGGAAAGTGTCGGGAAGTGAGGACAGCCCAGCCTAGCTCTCCGCTGCTCAGTGAGGCCCAAGAGTGCGCAGGACAGGAGGCAGCATTCAGACATCGGGCGAGAA